TGTAAGGTAGAAAGGCAAAAATAGCGCTATTCTGAATTACTTTAGATATGGAAATTCAAGCTGAAAAAGTACACGCAGCTCCTTTGCATTTGCTTCCTTGATTTCTCCTCTCATTAAAGTATTTTTCTCAAAAAAGAAATTCTCTACTTGCATTGTCTCAAGCAGCGTCAAATTTCGAAAGGTGTTCTTTGGAACTGACCTCAAATCGTTCCACGAAAGATCTCTGTTATGGCAAAAAAATTGTAGACATATGAGCAATCAATGGGAAAAAAATATTTATATAAAAGAAGTGTACATATCAGCAAGCGGGAATTTTTTAGTTGATTCTCAATTGGAAGTTGACAATCAAATAAATATTTCATTTGTCCGCCGAAGCAGCTTGTTCAATGTTCAGTCGCTTAGTAAAAAAAACCAAAACCAAAACGTAAAACGTGAAACCAAACCAAACTTTCCCTAGGGGAAAAACAAAAAGAAAGAAAATTTTAAGTTCAGGATCCGCTAATTCTCAGAGGCGAAACAAAGTTCAGATGAAGTATTTGGAAGTTTGAAGATCGTCTAACACGATTAACGACTGGGTTCAGGAAAGTCCAGTAAAACTTTACTCTTGAAAAAATCTCTCATCCAACTATTAATAATCTGAACATTTATGATAATTTTCCGGGTTCGTCTTAGAGATGTAGTGTTTCGTTTTCCCCACTTCAATCACTAGGGATAGTTCACACGTGGGATTCATTTCTATCATACATATTCAGAAAATAGAGAATCCCAGCTAGACCACGTACAGTAAAAACCGAATTAATACAACGTTCCTCTTTTCATACCAAATACATTTTTGAGATAAAGGGCAGAGAGCATCATGAACAGAAATTTTCAACCTACACATTCTTAAGCAACGTCAGGTTTGTGAACGCATCCTCTTTGATAGACGTCAGATGATTACCTGAAAGATTCCTAAAAAAACAACATATACATACGTGATTTTACCTAATCATTTTTACCACTTATGTACCGGCAACGGCTAGACGCATCATCTTTTCGAAGAAGAAACTCTGGTTATATTGCAACAATTTGCACTAAATTTCTTTAAGCGTTCTGGCTTATTTTTCCGCTGAGTGAGACAGTATGGTCATCAGTCTCGATTTACCGATATCGGAGCTTATTTTAGAGATAAAGGGTATCCCAGACCAGAGTTTTTTGTGGCTTCGGTCAGTTAGGATGGTCCATACATTTATAACTATCAGTAGAAAAATATCGTCAGTAGAAATTGGAGAATGCTATCCACTGTCTCTTTATAATGGTTGAGTTACTGTGGACAAAATAAAATGATTGAATTCAGTAGACTTTGACCTGTTCTTAAAAAGCCTTTGAGTTTCTAAAGACCTATTTTTTATTTTTGCCGCATTAACCGTTCACCTTGGGAAGATAACTTATCATGGAATTTTTTCAGGCTGTTATTTGATATGCACGAGTCGTCAGAGTCAGGTTTTACGACAATATGTTGACAATTGTAGCAAATGTGTTACCATAAAACATTAAAATTGTGGCGATCTTTCCTCATCCAATTAATGGAAGAGTGATTTTAATATAAGGATAACTCTTCTGGGGGACTAAGTTCTTATTCTACTCACAATATCACTGTATTCGATGGCAAATCATCAGGCACCTGTGTAATTCCAGAGCACTTCACGATAGTTCGACTATCGCCAAAAGGTGTACAAGTACAAGTCCCTGGATGAACGTCTTCTAAACAACACAATACTAAAGCTGCGGATGACAGCACAATTAAAAACTGTATCACAGGCAGACATGCCGAAGGTCGGAGCTCAGAAACTTTACCCATCTATGAAAAGAAAGTAAATACATGCATTAAGGTTTCGTAAGCCCGCACATGCCTGAGTGAGAGTGATGCTAGCGCTAGCGCAACCAAGAAGGATATGCCTTGGATTTATATAAAAAGGAAAAAACCAAAGTTGAAAAAGCAGCGCGGGAGCAAGGTCATTGTCTGGAAAGTTGATTTTTTGTTTAGAGAGCGATTTTTCATATTTATTCTTTGCTTGACTATGGGCGTCTGTCTCCCTCAGAAATGTCGTAAAAACATCGCTTTCAACTGTAAATCGTGCATTTATGAATTTCCAGATGAAATTTAAATTTTCCATTTTATATAAAAGCTTCTCTTCACTTCTAAATTTGACTCGTAACTCAATTATGCTTCAGCTTTAAAGAAATTTTAAAACAAAATGAATCAGTCACAAAATCATTACGTATCCAACACCACCGTAGGCTGAATAATTTTAAGTCAAAACCCGCTGAATGGATATCAGGATTTCTTTGCAATATGCTTGAACAAACCTCAGTGTGGCTTTTATCGAGCTTCCGTGACGACCAACCTCTGCGAATTTCTTTTTCCTTCTACACCCTGATATTCAGTTTAAATTGTAAACTACTTGTTCCTTGATCCCATCCTTTTATGATGATTTTTAATGACCCCATCAGACATAGGTTCGATCTAGAAACAGATGGCACTGACAGAAACTGATACTTTATATCAATTGCTAGTGCTAATGAAACATCATCCAATGTCAGCAGCTATAATCAAGAATAGGCCTGACAATTTTTTTTCCTTGATAGTTCTTTTTTAAATGTTTGGATGGAAGCATTCCTTGTCCAAAATCCTGTTCTATTAGACTTTTTCGTTGTTCAGTTTTCAGTCGCCATTGACCTAACTATACAGATACATCCTTCACTTGCGAGAAATCCTGAACTTGGGCAATATTATCTTATGAATTTCATCGCTAATTACGAGAGGTTGTTAATTACTTTCAGAACTTTAAGAACAATGAATGCAGTTTGCCTTTCATAACTAGCATCAGTTCACTAATTGTAGTTTTCAGAACGAAGTTAAACACTTGTGTCCAATGCAAAACATAACGGAATTAAGTTGATCCGAAACAAATATGTATTAAAAAGCGAAACCAGGAGTTCAAACAAATTTCGAACAAAGTTTAATTGACCTGTATTTTGATGCAGGTAATTTAGTGTTAACAACTGGGTTGAAAACGTAAATTAGCCACCGTAGAGGGTAAAAAAGCTGACGTTTCGAGCGTTAGCCCTTCGTCAGAGCTTTTTTACCCTTTGTACGGTGGCTAATTTACGTTTTCAACCCAGTTGTTAACACTAAATTACCTGCTATACTCTCCCACCGACGCAGCACCACAGTTTCTTTAGAAACTTGCCCCTTTATTCATCTGTATTTTGATGGTTTGTCATTTATATTGCAGCCGCTAAGATAGATCAGGCTTGTCACGAAAAACTCTGTTATCGACAAGAAATCAACTATTGGCGTGAAATCTTAAAAAATCAAAGGACTTTCGTTTCGATTCACAACTTTCGCGAAACTTCTGAACTGATGGGGGATGCTACTAAAATTAGATTTCTTTAAATCGTTTAATGAACCAATTAAAAAAATATATATTTGTAAAAGATTGTCTTGAAAGTGGTATAATTTTACAGGTAACTTCAGTTTGTACCCTGAAATGACACCGACGCTTGAGAATTTAAGAAAGGTATTCAAACTCATAACCTGGCTCATTTCCATGATCACTCGAAAGTCAAACTGCTAGCTATCAATCTATCAAATAATTCAAAAGATCGTTTACATGTATCGAAACCTCCTAATCAAAAGAAGCAAGAAATATATTAGAACTTGTTGAAAAGAAGTCCTCCTCATCAGATTTGCGGAACTGTCCAAGGTAAGCTATTAACAGAATCTTAAATGTCGGAAATTGACAAGCAATAATTTACCTTCACTGAGTTATGTAAGTCAGCCAAGAAAACATGATGGACTCTCAGACTTGGTTTGATGCTACTCTGGTTTAAAGATTTAATGAATGTAACCGAAGAAGTTACAATTCATAGACCCAACGTTTCGACACTCCTCGCTAGTGCCTTCATCAGGGTGATCTAAACGCTGCAACAAGAGGTCCTTTTATACGATCACTAATTAGCTACCTTTTTTTTCTAACGAGCTGTAAATAGGCGTCAGCAAGTAAGCCGCCATCATCACGATTTAAGGGAGCGTATGCGGAGTTAATATGCCAAGCTTCCAAACAAACGGCGCTGGTGGTAACGCTGATTAGTGGTGACAATTTTAGACTTATCCCACCCATTTGTATGGTTAGTTAGGCATGTGTGCTCCGATAAAGCTGAATTTTCTTTTTTGCAAAAGAAAACCGCTTTTTGGTGCTCTTTCAAACGTGTACCAAACTGACGTTTGGTTCTGTGTTCCCGCATGTTCTTACGAGTTAGCAAAAGAGAAAATGCTTGGAATTTAATAGAACGCTTTAATAAGAGAACAACACGCTTAGGAATGGGAACTCAGAGTTTATTACTGCATACTAAATCTGTGCCCCGGTACTCACAGGCGTTGGTCATGTTAAAATCTAGGCAATGACCTCGTACGATTTTCATTCATAATTTACTTGAAAATTTCATGTGTATTTGAAATATTCCATTCAAAAAGCAGTTGAAAAGGGCAGTGATGCCTGTCACAAAATGGTTCTTCGTATTTTCGACCTATTCTTTAAGACTGCACGTAAAAACCTTGCTCTTTAGCCTGAGCTTCAGAGCATCGATGGCGCTTTGTGACCGAAGACGAACAAACCCAAGCTTAGAACACATAGCTCCCACAAGGCGAATAAGTAATCAATCGCTCGAGGCAAATAAATATACGCTTAAAAAAAAGACAATCAACTGACCTAAGGGGCCATTATATTCCAAAAGTTATAGAGCAAAGTGTTAGTTTCGCATCAGCTCTTTCCAGTGACGCTATCGTTTATTTGTCACGGCTGACACCGATAGAGGAGTAGTCGAGGGTTCCCCTTCTGCACAAGAGAATCATTTTCATACCAAGAAATATCATTTTCTTCACTTATCCGGCTGTATATGAAAGGCCGTGACCACGGTAACAGTACACCTAAAGGAAAAACGGCAGAAACCTACCCCTTCAATCCTAGAGGCAGTCTGCAACTGGTTTATATTTCACTTATTATTGTATATTTCAGGTCTATGATCTGTGGATATCTTTTCGACCGATGGCTTCCAAAATTCAATACCAGGCTATTATAATCGTCTGCTTCTACTGTGTTGTGCTATCTACTTGCTTAAAATTCAACTATGTGAGTTACTGTGGTAAGATCAAAATTATTTTACTCGTTTGTGCCCAAAGAAAAGCGCAAATGTGACCTTTGCTATATCGTTTCGCGCACAGAATAGTGAAATTGAATGTTATATTTTGGAAGGTGTTTAGCCATTTAAAAATTGGTGGGGCAGCACAAGAAAACTTGGTTTTATCAAATGAGTTGATAATGTGAATTGGACACCACAGAGTCGGATGGTAAAGCTGACATCTCGAGCTTTGAAATCACAAAAAGTTTATTTCTAACTCCTTGGCTATTCCATTCCGTTACAGGTCCGCCAGATAAAACGTTCGCGTTTAAAATTACCCCATGGCCAGTGATAAAACCTGGTGGTGTTCTCAATCTAAGTTTCAAGCTCACTCCTTGTAAGTTTTAAACTTTATTCTCAGCCCAGCTGTTTCAAAAAGTGGTATCTGTACAATTTCCTAATCATCTAGCTGTACTTCAGTAAGGTATTTCCCACATACCTCGAGCCTGAAGAAGTCCTCCAGTATTTCCGCAGTGTTAATTCACGAGTATCTGTTAGGAAAAACCTTCAGGTTTTCGTAAATTACCTAATTACCTGAAATATTCTAAGCTTACGTATGCGTATGTATTTTATTTTTCTAAAGCTGTAGACGTTTTTTATTCAACACTCCGTGCTCGCATTACCTCGAAGAAAGACCACCAAGTGTTGGTTGATCGTGTGATGAATTTAGGATGCAAGCGCACCAAACTACTTTGCAACCTGGCGGCAGGAGGTTTGTGTGTAAAATCGAAATTCCTTAGAATGGTTTTTTTCTTCTAAAAGTTGCCAAGATTGTCTCCTTTTTGCTGAAGATAAATAATTGGAATTCTGCCACCTTAGATATTTCAGTTCTAGATTCGTTTCATCTTTAGACTGTTTACGATGTGAAATGACGCTTTGCAATGATGTTCTAAGAGAATCACTAGTTAAAAACTCGTACAAATATACAAGATACACCCCTAGTGAACACAGTGGCCAAAACTAGGGCATGCTCGAGGGATCAAATCTGGCCGGCTGGGCACCGAATTTCCCGCGCAAAAATTCTAAGGAAAACATAAAAAAAGAAAACCACTGTCTCACAAAATAAGCAGAAGGAAATTGAAATGTTCGCAGGAATCTGTAAAAGGAAGCAAAGAAAGGGGAAGGAAAAACTCGAGACTTCGAACACTAAGCTTATTCAAGTACGGGCATCCTCAGTGTCGATTTAACACACTGTTTTGAGCTTTACCAAAACCTTGCACGCGTCTAAAACACCATAACTTAATGGCTTGTGTGCTTGTTTATAACTTCTGTGAGACAGCTTGGCTCTGACAGCCTGAAAAGACGCCACCTAGTCATAACAACGCTCGCTTGACATAGGGCAGACGCTTGAACGCTGTGTTTGCCCACTACCACTAAAAGCCTTCCAAAGGTGTTGAGTGTATTTGGCAGCTTTACAACCTGACCCTCCATCTTCGTCAAGTCTCCGTGCGGGCCAAAGTTTGATACACACCCACTAATCTAATCTCGGTTTCTTATGCAATCCTATGAGTAATTTAACGACTTACTTAAGACGGCAACGTTAGGTGAGCAAGGAGGGGTTTTGAAGTCAGCTAAAAATTGAGGAGCTTTATATGTTTTCCCAGAAACCTTAACCAAGTCAGTCAATGGAATACGCGTGGGGAATTTTCCACCTGGCCTAAAGGTATTTCAAAATACAATCACTATCAGTCAGTTCACCAGCTCACCAATTTAATTGCATCCGAACGCAGGGTTATCTATAGGTCATTGGCTTCTCTGATCAGAGGCTCATACTTTTTCCCTCTCGTGTAGCTGAAATTAAAGAGACAAGTACCAGCAGCGAGGATTTTCATTTTCAATTTTCTTCCTTCACTGGTTTGTTCCTCATTTTTTCTATTCCTTTGCAGTCCATGTATTTTCCCCCATCCCTCCCTCTCTCTCTCTCTCTCTCTCCATCTCACTGTGCTCATTCATTCATTCTTTCAGTCGTCAATTTACCCTTTCAGTTTTATTTCTTTCATTTTCCTCCTCGATCTTTCTTTCATTTTTGTCTCCTATACTCTCTCATCAGTTTTCAATACACCATCAACCCTCTTAAATCCTTACGAGATCTTAACAGACGACCACGTCCTTGATTTGGTCCTTGTGTTACTCTGATTCACGGGGCTCTGTTCAAGGTTGAGGAAATTGGACATACGATTTTTTCTTACATGAGGCAGTGTAATTTAAATTTTTTCTTTTTGCTTTAACTGAATCAACAAGAAACATTCTTAAGTGCTAAGGCTTCTCCAAGCATTAATGTTTTTTTCGTGTGTGTCTAATTTTTGTTTCAAACCAGGGAACGGTGACAGGGACAGTTGCGCTGTACAATCAAAACCAAGTAATGTGGTTTTGCATTAAATTTGAAGCAGTCCTATAGGTTGAGTGTGTACAAGAAAACTGGTCTTACAGATTTGTAAAATGTTTAATCCTGGGTTAATTTTTGTTTTGCTTATTATAACTTTTAAGTAATTTGTTTTCTTTAAACTACGTAGCTTTGATCAATGCCCATGAACGCCTTCTGATTTGTGAAATAAGAATTTGTAATATTTGTAAAGCGCCGATGAGGATATATCTTTCAAACAGCGTTAAATAAAGAAAAAAGGATTGGATCGTTATTAATATAGTGTTCGTGTTTAAATTGTACAGGAATGTTAAATGATTCTTGATAAAGTGTTCATAGAAATGTAAATGGAACGACCATTGTGACTCTTTTACTATCGATGTTTACAGTTTTTCCCTTTCCACAGTATACAACCGTCCGGCCTCCCCCACGTTTTAATAGCAAACACGTTACTTGCAAAAACTGATGATTGCGTTCGTAATCAAATCACAGTCAAAGCTCACTTTAAAAGCATTATCACGCGCCTGGCCTGGCTTAGACCAGAAATCCAGATTCCTAAAGCTAATACTTAGAGTAGTAACATCATGATCCTCTATATTAAAGGTAACGAAGACAGTTTGTTCAAGTTTTGATTTCATGTTTGCTCTCGAAGTGAGATCATTTGACTATACTCCACACCTGTATTATAGGAAAAATTTCGTAAACAAATTGCTAAACAACTGACAGTTTTATCATTAGCATCTGTTATGTAAGTTATTCTTTTTACTAAAGTTAAGACAGAAATAGCTTAAGAATATGATCATCTGCTAGAAGAACACATTCTCGCTCGAGCTATCGTCAAGTTAAGCTCTGATTCTTGCAGGTAAGCTGGAATTTTAGCAATTGTAGAGGAGAGGCCTGAAAATTCGGGCTTCGACGCGATTCGAACCGGAACTTTTGACAAACTAGCTATAGTTGGTCGGCAGTACAACCAAGTGAACTACGAAGCCACACGTTGGGAGAAATGCAAATTTCAAGGGTTCTTTTTCCACGTGAAGGAATTTGATTTGGGAAATTTATTTCATTAAAAACTGAGATTAAATTCCTCTAATTTTTTCTATGGTAAGCTGATCATACCCATTAGATTTTTCTGCAAGGAAAGTTTCTGTTTTTAATCACAGGTCGGCGAGAGGCCATTGTGAAACAATTATTATAATAATCATTTCCTACATTTCTGTTGCATACAATTCGCTGATTCAGCCGGTAAAATTTCCTCTTTTCAAAGGTAACAATTTATTTTCAAAGTTCTATCAACGCTGACCACAAATATCTGATTCTTATACAAGGAACAGTTATGTTTTGTATTTTTTTACGCGCGGGTGAGAGGCCATATGCATAATTATAAAGTTATTTTGAATGTAGTGTCATGGTAACCATTGAGAAAATTACATCTTGAATAGATAGTTTAGGTTGTTTAGTAGAAAATGTCTTTTAGTGAGGCTAAGCTTAGTCATAATATAAGTGACAGGTAACCACGTATTTGGGGCAGGAAAAACCGTTTCGACACCAGATCAAGGAAAAATTCTTAAAGCGAAAAAAAAAACGGATATAGACACGGCAGTCGAAGCAGAGAGTAAATAAAGCATGCTGATCTTTTCAGTCTTCCCCAAAAGAGCAACAACAAGTCGATAAAAGCAAAATTATCTATCAAACGTGCGTAATGCAAATGCTTTTCGAAATCTTAACCACAGTAAGCAAAATTAACCCTTCCAAAACAATCGCTCCAGTGAAAAGTTCGTGTCCGGCTTTTTGTTGACAGCCTGTGCGTTGTAAGTGAAGGAATGGTGCACATAACACGTATTAACTTTTAAATTATAGAAAAATGTTCTACCGACCTTTCTAACCCCGACAGATCATAGCAATGAAGTCCGCAGGAAGGACAGAACCATTACACCGGGTAGATTAGCACACAATTCGTTGACGTTTTATCAATTCATGGGTGATGTTACGAGGAGAGATTGGATGCTGGTAACACTTAGGGTTTAGAGTTAAATCTTGGAAAACTTGTGAACTTGGAAGGAAATTTCCCCTCTTATCTCGATTATTGCTGCACCTCTCTTTTTAAAATGAATAAAATGCCCTCTTATTTTGATTTTGTTTTCCTGTCTTAAGAAGGAAATGTGGACCTTCCAAGATAGTGGAGGTTGAAAATAGCACTTCAGAGAGGAAGATCAAGCATTGAAGTCGAAATTATACCGTGTTGCAACAGATAAATGTGGAAAGTCGGATATCGAAAGCTCACAGTCAGACAGATTAGGACGTAGAAGGCTTAGAGGTCGAAAGTTGCAAATTAGAAGTCCCTGGCTGGAAGTATGAAAATTATTCGTCAATGGTTGGAAGTAAAACTCCGAACGCTGGAAGTCGGAAAATTAAAAGTCGATAGTCGGAAATAAAACTCCGAACTCCGAAATCGAATGTCTGAAATTAGAAGTCGGATAAACTGTTGTAGCATTAATTTGCGGGCCGGTAACAAAATCAATAACATATTCTTCATTGCCCCGTTAAACATCTAATGATGTATTGAAATCCAAAGTTAAGTCATTAAGAGTCCATTTAGATAGGGAAAGGACAAATGTGAAGTTTTTCGGGGATGGGTCGAGGTGAGTATTGTATTTTTCTTTCGTTTATGTTTTATCTTTTTTTGATTGTTCCTTTTTATTCTTTTATTAAAAGTTTAGGATGTATCTTTATTTTTCGGGGCAAACATATATTTCGTTACTCATCATTTTACTTTTCGACGATCACATGATGCATATTATGAAACTGCAGCTTTAAAAACTACTTCCTTGCTTATGATCAGATCATGCGTAGCCACTACAAAGATTACACCGCTCCTTTTATGGCAACCACGTGATGGATAGACATTGCAACTTTTAAACTGCTTCCTTGTTGACAAACACATGATGCACTGACATGCACCGCAACTTTTTAATTTCTTCCCAGGTGACAAACATATGATGCATGGACACCACAACTTTAAACTGCTTCTTTGTTGACAAACACATGATGTATGACTGCAACTTTTAAACTGCTTCCTTGTTGAGAAACGCCACAAATTTCAACCGTGGAGAAAACAACTTTTAAACTCCTTTCTGATGAATACTCAGCATGTAGACTCCACAAGCTTCAACTGAAGCTGTACTAAAAATTTTACCATTATTAGACAAGGTTTGTTTCCATCTACGTCGTGTTATACTTCATCCAAATTCCGCTCTTGAATGGTGAACCAACTCTTCTTGGAAGTTTAGATTTCTCTTCTCAATTTTTATGAGATTCTTAGACCAGCTGTAATGAAACAAAAGATGTTACAGTTATATTTAGTTATTCAGTCATATAAATGATTCGTTTTTTAAAAAGACCTTTGCCATCATTCAAGTAGCTAGGTCTACAATCAACAACCTGACAATGTTTTATACTAAGGGATCTAGCTTGATATCCTTCTTGTGATTAAAGCGAAGTTTGAATCCTCACGTCGCTAAAAGGTAGGGGCACCTTTCTCAATACATTTCTTACAATGAGACTGTGACATAGAAAATTAGTCCTTATAGCCCCTGATTGAGCTCTATAAGCTTCACTCTCCGTCACTGCGTCTTCTGTGAATGCCAGGTATCCTTACTCTGTGATTTAAAAGGAGAAACTTTCTAACCCAGCTATTTTTTGTTTTACATTCTTTTGCCTTCAAATGTCAAATGTCTCGGAAAAAACCCGAGCAAGTACAACCCCCACTGAAATGCAGACACTGTCCTTTGGTGATTACAACCGAAAACCAAAATGAATCTGGACCTCCGCGTGTAAGACCTCGGTTTAACGGCTCACTGCTCGAACCTAAAAAAGAAAGCAAACATCAAAAACAGAAAAACGTAAATGATACGAGCTTACACCGAGGTACCAGAGGGGGACATCGAAGCATGGGCCATCGTCACTACACCGCTGGACGAGAAAATAAACAAGCAATGCATGAGTGGAGCGCGCTAAGCTCTCCATCCAGTTATTGCAGTTCTGATTGTAAACTTTTTTACAGCTCTCCACCCAGTTGGTTCTGACTCCAACCTTTCTTCTTCATTTCATTCAAACTTTTACAATCACATAGATAGCTTAATCATCCTTAATGAATTATGGATATCTATAATTCAAAACTGACCTGAACAGTAGGTCCACTAAATCACTGACTTGAATATATCAGGCGTTTTATTCCAGCAAAACAATGACTGGATCTGTATAACCTGTTGATCACACAATCGAGAAGCAAACAAAAGATAATTCTTAGAATTAATTTTATTCGTTTAAAAGATCGGATCAAAATGGTTCTGACTCTAGTCTTTTGTCTTGCTGTTTTCCAAAAATATATATATTTCATGATTGTCGCTGAAATATTCTTACAGTTCTCCATCGGTTGCATTTCAGTTGCATTTGATCAGGCTGTAATTGACTCTAATGTATAAATTCCATTCAAGTGTTTCATTGCTTTGTTTTCATTCGTTTGTTTTGTTGTGAGTTTCCTATTTTAATGTTTTAATTTCGCGTTAAATGTTCGGGTTAAAATGGTTCTGACTCTAATCTTTGGTCTTGATCTTTTCCAGAAATATACACATTTCATGATTGTCAATAAAATATACTTACAGTGTTCCACCAATTAAATTCAAAATTTCAGTTGCATTTGATATCTTTACTTAAAAATAACGTATTTGACATAGTTTGAAGCTACACTGGTTTGCAGATTTAATGAATGTAACCGAAGAAGTTACAATTCATAGACCCAACGTTTCGACACTACTGTCTAGTGCCTTCATCACCCCTGATGAAGGCACTAGACAGGAGTGTCGAAACGTTGGGTCTATGAATTGTAACTTCTTCGGTTACATTCATTAAATCTGCAAACCAGTGTAGCTTCAAACTATGTCTGATTGTCCACCTGGTTGCCGTGTGAACTTTAATATATTTAATAACGTATTTCCTGACTGGAACAGCTCAGTCATACTTCAGGACCTTTTGATATTTCTGATTCAATCCTTACCTGAACAGCAAAGCAGCTCATAATGATCGGTACTCTAAATGGCTGAATTGCCGCAGGCGTTTGATTCCAGCCAAAGAATAACTGCATCTGTATAACCTGTTGATCACACACTCAAGAAGCAAACAGAAGACAATAACTTATTGTGAGATAAGAAAAATAACTACACGAGTTTTGTATACGTCGGCAGGTAGAGTATTTGACAGCAAAATCGGTGGATCTAAGGTTTGAATCCTCATGAAAGTCCACCAGAAACTTTCATTTCACACGTTTCAGACATAATTCCTTGCAAAGGTCGACCAATATTTTTTTCTCAGCTCAACTAATAGAGTATTAGATACCGATTTTGGAAAGTCTGAAGTTTGGATCCCCATGTACGTTTACACAAAATACCTCTCTCTGCTCTGCCATAACAGCATTCAGCAGCAAAACCGATTAATGAGGTTTGAATCCTCACGAATGTTAACCCACACTAATTTTTCTGCCAAGCTAGTAAAGCTTAGAATCCTTACAGACGTTGACCCAGATATTTTTCCTACCCCGCTGATATTGTGCTGCGCAGTTTTCCTTGGAAATATTTAGGATTGAGATAACAAAGACAATTAGTTACTGTGACCCCTCTCAAGTTAAGCTCTAGAAGCTTCAGTCGCCATTAATGTGTCCTGTAAATTCTGTTTTTACTCATTCATCAGTTAAGAAGGAGATTCTCTTCAACTCGGCTAAAGTGTTTTGTATTCCTTGGACTTTGGATGTCAAGGGTGCTTGATAAAAGGCTAAATATAATCCCCGCTTGAGTACAGACACAATCCTCTGGTGGTTACAGCCGACAACCGAAATGGGTCTGGCCTCCGGGTTTGAGACCTATTTAACGGCTCATTGCTCGTATCAACAAAAGGAAATAAAATAAATAAAAACAAAAACGAAAAAAAAATTGATACGAGCTTACGCCGAGGTACCAGAGGGTGAGACCGAAGTATGGGCAATCTGCACTGCACCTCTCCTCGGGACGCGAAAATAAACAAGCACTGGGCCGGGAGTGCGCGAAACTCTTCATCCAGCTGGGATCGCCTCATTTGAACTGACTGCGTGAGGTTCGAATCCTCACGAGGGACTCCGATTGTAATGTTTCTTTACTCACTATCCTATATATGGTACCATTTGATTTCTATGGTCCAACTTGTCCACTGAGAGTAAATTGTATTTTACTGAAACACGATCTTCGAGCTGAAAAAGAAGTGTACTCGAATTAAATGACTTTTGCCGATAGACTTCCACATAAAATTGAAATGTCTCAAAATCAATCTCCCAGTTGTAAATAATTTTAAAAAACCAAACATTTCAAAGAATACGGATGCTTCTTGAGGTAAATCATACAAAAAAAAGATCAGTAATTCGAGAGGGAAATATGTTTACAACAAAACTACATGGCTATTTTCTGTACCTCATTTGATCAGTAAAGTGTAACTAATATCAATGCAACCATAAAGTTTAGTTGTGTTTTTCATTTTTACACAACCTTGTTCTGACTAAAAAAGGGTTTTGACGCTCATTGAAATATCCTTTTTTTGTTCTACCGAGAAATGTATAGTACGTATATATTTTATATGATTGCCTCCTATAAAATAAAATTACGGTCCTCATCAATTTAAATCACAAAATTTCGTTAAAAATAATGTTTACACTGCACTGGCTCAGGAGTATTCATATTTCCTAACTTAGCAAAGGATTAGTTGGCTAATTTGAAGACAAGTTTGGAACAAATAGGTTACTCCCCAGACCCTCAAAATTCAATTACTCTAAGGTAAGGACTCTAAAGCTAACTTCTCCTTAAAAAAATAAAAAGACAAAAAAGACAAAAAAACTTACTTTGGAATCTGTTTGGCCTTCTTCAGGAGCACATGCGTGTGAGGTACATCAAGTCCTTATCTTTTTCCTGCTTCTCACAATTTCCAACAGTCCACGATGAAAATAAATAGCACATCCATGCTTCTAAAAGATCTTGTTCGAATGGCCATGAACGTCTACCTCGGCCGCTTAATTTCTTTCCTTATAAGAATGTCTTGGCTCAGTTCCAATGAGAACTTAATGTAACCTTCAACAATATGGAAAAAATATAACAACTGTAAATAAGGAATACCTCAAGTTTTCTTATCCATCACAATGGATAGACAAAATACTAATTCATGTTTGGTCATTTGTGTACATTTCTTCTAGTTTCCAGAAAAAAAAACCTAAGCAATTTTGCAATGGGGTAAACCGTTAACCGTAAAACAGCGAAAACAAAATTCGCAAAATCCAATGTTTCTTATCTACTATTTGTCATCTGTAAAATGGCCAAAATTTTCCCTGTTATCGCATAAGACCTCCGTTGGTATCTGCGCTATACAAATTAATAGGTAATATTATTTTGATTAAGATCATTTCAATTTTTTTTTTTTTATGAAAAAAAAAAAAAAATGATAAAACGCCCCTCCTTTATGCCCGCTCGGTGTCACAGCGGATTTGGACCCCCCGCGGATTTGGGCCCCCGGTCTAAATCCGCTCGCGGATATGGACCCCCCTTTGCAGATTTGGACCCCCCCTACCAAACTTTCCTTATGAGCATCGTTTGAATTATAATTGGTAACTAATTCTATTGCAAGCTTTTTGTCGATGTTCTTTTCAATCACAACACAACATTCCTCAATAAAGGTAAAGAAAAACAACCATTTCGTTCATATCCAGCCCCATTTATTACAGCGAGTCGTACAGTATACTCAAGAATTAGATGCGAACAAACTACTGCATTCGAACTATTGCAAATGTTGCAATAAATCTTTGCTTCTCCTGATGTGAATCAACATTGATACGAAACGTCATAACAATAGTGGAGACTATTGCGTTCAGTCACAAAAATAACTCAGTCTGTCAGACAGAAAATTTTTCTAATTAAATAACATTAACCAGTTTCTGAACAAGAACGAAGTAACTACTCCTACTACAAGTCGTTCGTAAAGCCTATGATAAGAAAAAATGTTTCTATTCTGTACTATTGGAACTCTCTGCTTATTTTCAGATGCAAATCAACATTAATGTCTACGTCTTAACAAAGGTGGAGACCATTACATCGAACTCAATCTTATTTCTAATTTTTAACGATTATTAACTGTTGAGGGATCTGAAATAACAAACTCGCACTGTACCATATCGTCCCAACGCTTGGGCATTGAACAATAACAAAATAAATAAGTATCATAAGTTTGTCTCTTACTGAATCTAGCGGTGTTCGACTATCACAGAAAACAACCTTTATCCGAACATTGAACTAAATGCTTGCACATTTTCCCTTGGTCAAAAGAAACATCCGACGGGTCATTTCCAGCTGCCAGTTCATATGCATTGGCGATACGCATATTTTGAATTAAAAACATACTTTATTACGCACTGAAACGTAAAGCATTGTCGATTTCTACGAGAACGTTAAGGACGATGTTTTCAGTCAGATCTGTTGGGGGGTCCAAATCCGCTAGCGGACCGGGGGGGTCAATATCTGCTAGTGGATTTGGACTGGGGGGTCCAAATCTAGGGGGTCCAAATCCGCTAGGACAACGGCAAGGAGAAAGAGTGTCACAATCACTTTTTGACGAGAAAAAGGATGATGCTTTGTCATAACATGAAAATAATTTTTTGATTGTTTGTCTGTTCCTTAAAATGTGCTCAAATAATGTATCTCCAATCATGAGCCTAGCGCAGATTGTGCGAATACCATAGCGAGTAGGCCGCTTCCCCTCCCACCCCACCCACCTCAAAGAGAGCTTTTACCTCAGAATTGAAAATGGCGACCCGTTTCCCAGAAGATGGATCTGAAAGCAAAAGTGTAAGGAATGAAGACACAAAAGGTCAATTTAAGGAAAATATATCAAAACCCAGCTTAACTGGTGAGTTTTTGGTGATTATTGGGAGAAATTTGTGCAGATTCTTGCATCAGCGCGGCTTCTCGAGTGAATTCACATGGAAAATGCCTACCTCGGCGTATCTGAGAGTGTGTGAAATCTTAAGAATTTTGACACCCATCTGTTTGGATAGCTTTCCTGTGGCGAAAGTAACAAAATGGAAATTTGCAGTACTGCCTAATTAGCAGTGTTAATCATGTTCTTTGATAAGCTCCGATCGATTATTCGATTGAATCTTCGTTTCACCGCTATTGCGGAAGTAAAGCGAACCGAATTAGACTTATTTGAGAGTCTACTCACTTACACTAACACTGATTTCAGGTTTGTTTTGAATTCTTCTTTGAGAAAAGTCGTTTTGTTGTGTAGGATTGATACCCAAGGATCTCCGAAAATAGTGAAACCTGATTAAGGAGTGTGGCAATTATCAACGTGCGGTCCATAAAGTTGAATAAAATCGTTCTATTTACATCTTATACGCTTTACTAAAACTATAACTGCCGTCACAAGTATGATAGAGCCATGTGTAATTTACTCACTCGCCTTTTCAATTGCATTTCCAGGATCGCTGGTACAAGATCCAACTAAATTGAACGTTACCCTTGCAACAGATGCAGAGGGTTGGGACAAGTCTGTCAATGAACAATTTCTTCTTGAACTTGCTCAGAATCCTCAAGTAAGAGTCACTGGGTTTGTACCTAAGCACACCCCAAAGCAGAAAGACCATGCCAGGGACTTAAACATTGAGCTGGTTGATGCCAAAGAAATCACAGGTTTTCCAGCAGTTGAGCTTCTAGCTTATCCACCTGACGATCTTGACATTGATATTCTCATCATACACTCCTATGGGCGTGACCTGGGGCGACAAGCACAGATCATAAAAGACAAGAAAAATTGCCAGTGGGTTAATGTTGTCCATACTGTCAGTGAAGATCTAGAGAAATTTTCTGTTAAGAAATCTGCAGACTCAGCTGCAAATGATCAATTAACTGAACACGACCTCCAGACAAGATTGTGCGAGAAATCTGACCTTATCATTGCAATTGGCCCAAAAGTTACAGAAGCTTACAGAGCTGCTCTGAAGTACAGTGGTAAAGACCAGAGTGTGATTGGTTTGACTCCTGGAATTATTGAAGAATTCCGCCTTGGTGTGCGCCGGGAAACTAAAGGCTCAGGTGAAATTTTCCGTGTGCTGCTTAGTGCCTCATCCAAGTATTTCTTGGTCAAAGGATGTGATATTGCCACTAAAGCTATCAATCTGTTAAAAGATTCATCCTACCATCTTATATTTGTCAGACAGCCAAAGGATAATGAAGACCAGCTGAAGAAAGCCTTTCTTGATTTAGGAATCAATCAGCATCAACTCACCTTTAGAAGTTCTGGGAGCAAAGACTTCTGGCCAAGGTTGCTTTGTGAAGTGGATCTGGTCATCAAACCATCAAGAACAGAGGGTTTTGGCATAAGTGGTCTACGTGCCATTTCAGCAGACCTCCCTGTTCTTGTGAGCGGAAACTGTGGTCTTGGCATGGTGTTGAAGTCATTACCCTCTGGTGCACAGCATGTAATTGATTCTGAAGACCCTCAGGCCTGGGCTGATGCGATAAAGAAAGTCAGGGCAAAGGCAGTGCAAGTTCGAAAAGCAGAATCAGAACAACTAAGGAATGATTACATGCAGCAATTCAACTGGAAGATGCAATGCAATGAAATTGTCAAGAAAATGTTTTCAATGAATCCACACAAATCTGGTGAGTTTGTTTACTGTAATTTTGATTTAATCAGGAACAGTTTAAGTTTAATTTGTGTTTGTCCTGTTGTTCACCCTCTACAGCCTAACATCAGTGTTTAAGTTCTCCATTATACTGTTTATATGTTTCTTACTGTAAAACAAGGAGAATTTGCTTAATAATCAAGAGCTTCTTGACCTTGTAATTATTTCCTTTATTCTTATCACTGTGATATTTGATTCAGGGGTGATACTGTTGGGAGAAATAAGATGCTTATCACTCTCAGGGGCTTAGGGTTAATACATCCTAAGACAAATATCATTAGTTAGTCTGAAGGCAGTGTCACCATTGTGAACTAAGAGTTGCTGGTGGTGGTAACAGCAAATGTCCTTAGATGTCCTTAGGGCACACTGAGGTACATTTGCATTTGGTTTTCTTGTAGGGAATTCAAGAAAAATTTGAATTACCAAGAAAAATATTTTTGAAATGCATGTAAGCTGAAGTTTGGCCTTCTGTTCAGGCACATGTTGGATGAGTTAGCTCTTGATTTTTTTTTTTTTTTTTTTTTTTGACAATAGATAATAGTCATCTTTGATTTTCAAAGCAGAGTAAAGTTGCAGGGAGAAAGGAAACTAATGACTTTTCAGTGAATAATTGCAACCTTAGAAAGCTGACTCTTGTTTACTCATTAGACTCCTTCATTGTAAATTGCTGACTGATTCTGAACAGAAGTTCTTAAATTCAAATCTTTTTGTAAATATAGCATAAATATAAATAGGCAAATTTATCACCTTTTTTATATTTCTTAGAATACAGAAAGAAAGCTGTTGAGTGGCAGTTTGATGTTGCTGATACCACAAGAGATCTGCAGTCACTGCAAGTGAATCGCGATGATGTGGATGGAGGTCTGTATTATCAGTATGAGACTGAGAAGATGAGTATTCAGGAGACAAGCCAGTTCCCTAGTACATACAAACGTGGAGACATATCACGTAGAAACATGGGAGTCAGTAATCTACCCCTTAAAGAATACAGAAAAGTTTGCCTAATGCTCAACACCAAGCGAGATCTGAAATTTGATGACTTCAGGATGCTTGCTGAGAAAGTTGGATTCAGCAGGGATGAGATACGGATGATTGAACAGGGTGAAAATCCTACTGACATGGTTCTGCAGACCTGGTCATCAAAGAGAGAGGCTACTGTTGGAAACTTAATTGACCTGTTGACAGGTGAGGACCTGGAGAGAATGGATGTGGCAAAGGTGCTTGAAGACTGGGTAAATGACGGCTCCTCCCCAAGTCAGATTTGAATGTTCTTGATGTGGAAGAACAAGCAGATCTAGTTTTTATCAGTAAAAGTTTTGTACAGTATGGCAAGAAATTTGTAGACTTGGAGAAGAATGTTCTAGTTTTTTTTGTTTCCATAGAACCTCTGTTTTAAGTTTGGTCAAATGATAGTTTATGAACTTTAAGTCAACTTTATTTGTGATGATCTTTTCTCAGGTCTTGATCTTGATGTGTAAGATTGGTAGCTTGTATCTAGCTCTTTTAAAAGTGCATGCCCTTTCAAAATTTAATTTCATGTAGTATTAAAACAGAGCATTTAGCCTAATTGGCTTAGCTGGTAACATTAACCTAATTTTTCCTTTTGGTATGTAAAAAAATTAGTATTTAGAGAGGGGTTGAAGCCAGTGTTGAAACTAATCAACATAATCATCTTTGGCTGATTCTTTTATAGACAAGTAGTTGGTCAAGGTGACCTCTTTTGTCAACAACTGAGTACCTTTGTCTCGTATGTGGGAGAGAAATGAAAGGATGTTAGGATTTGCACCGTTTAAGGTCACTATGCTGTGTTCTTGGGTAGTATATTAACTCTCACAGGTCCTTGCTGCAGAAACAAGCTTAGTAACTAAGTTCTGGTAGCTGTATGAGTCAGTCTTGTAAGCAGAATTTTCCCTTTGTCACTTTGCATACAACAGATATGACAAAGAAATGAAACAATGCAAACAAATAACTTCTAGACAACATTTAAGTTTCAATTAGTATATGAAAGTAGTCTTGTCATAGATATCTATCATTTTTATAGTTAAATGGCTTGTATGTTCACTAATTCTTTAAAACAGAATGTACTTGAATACATAGTCTAGAGTGTGTTAATGTTACACTTAACATATTTATACTTCTTTCATTTAGTTTTACACCAATTGTTAAGGTTATTTTAGTTAACTTTTTTTAGGTGGTATGGTTAATAACAATGATTTAGAGTGAGCATCAAACCTGATGAGTGTAAACATTAAAATTACTTAATGGGAGAATTGGTTAAGTAGAATGAGTGATTGAGTCTTATTTCAACTACTAGTTCAGTGGTGTTCTTAATTGCGAGGATCGATTCTATATTTGCATATTAGGCTCTTTTAGTGTCTCAAAAGGAAATTAAAATCTGGACTCTCCTGGATGAAGTAACATCCACATCAGTTTGCCATTTTCTAAATTTGCCAGTATCACCATCAATTTTTTACAACCTAGCTAACATTAGTGTTCACTGATCTCTGTACTTTTCTTGTGGCGATGATAAGGAGAATATATGCCAGTCAGGAGCTTCTTAAATTGGTTATCATTTCATAAATTTCATGACCTTTATATTTGATTCAAGTGTGAAACTGTGATAAGAAATAAGATTCCTGTTACTCTTATAACAAAGGTTAAGAAATAGGGTCCTTATGAAATAATGGTTGCTTTGCATTCTTATTACTTGATAAGAGCTCAAAGTTTTACAATGACAAAAGATGCAAAAGCACTATATGCCTATTGACACTGTTTTGGCATGATGACCCTTCTCAAACTAGCTGCAAATGGATGTGTCTTGTTTTCTTTGTAAATTTTGTATCAAAACACATTTAGGAAAACCAATAAAGGCTGAATTTAAAAATTTTGGCTGTTGTTACTTCCCTGTAAATCAAAAGCTCATTAGAAAAGTAAAATGAAAATCTCAGTACAGGTTCTTTGAAATTATAGTGAACTTTAAGAAAAAGAGAGCCAGGTCTTGCAAAGTGGGATGTAGATGCCAGCCACTGTTAGTAACCCCAACCAAAAACAGGCTAAAGTGTTGTTTGAAGTTACATTTATTTATTCATGACACCTTGAACTGATCAAATCTCTTGTCATTTGGACTGAGTTCATATCCTAAGCTAAACCAATACTTGATAACTTGCTGAGCAAGCTCGCTTGGTCAGAAAAGTAACTATGAACATTAACAAAAACTTCCAGAGAAACCTTTTTTCTTTGCTTTAAGCTTGGCAATGTACTGATGTGTAGTGATCAAATGCATTATGCTATGCAAGTTGTTTTGAGCTAGACCAACATGCAGCTATTAAGTTTTGTCTTCAATAATGAACAGTAAAAATGGTAATAATATTTTGAAAAAGCCCTATCATGGCTTTAGTTCACAACATAATTTCAGAATGTTAGACCTATGAGCTACATTGTCAGTCAACACAGAGATTTAAATTGTATGGTATCTATAATCAAATTGGGCAAAATACTGAGTCTCAAACTACCTAACTTCCAGCAAACTCTACTCCCTTTTTCTAATACGTAGTGGTAAACTTTGAGTCTGAGGAGGATGTGACTAAATCATGGTGAGCATTTTTTCAACAAGGTTTTCACACTGATCTTTCCAGTTGAATTGCCCAGTGTACTCTTTTCTTAAAGACTCTGCCTCTGCATTGCGCCCTTTTGCATCCTTTGCTTTAACTTCTTTGATCTTGTCAGCCCAGACCTGGGGATCATTGGACTCCACAACATGGTTTGCTCCTGAGGGTAACTTCTTCAGAGCTGCACCAAGGCCAATATTTCCGCTGACTAGGACAGGAAGGTCAGCAGAAATGGCTCGGACACCACTTATTCCAAAACCTTCTGTTCTGGATGGTTTTATGACAAGGTCTGCTTCACGGAGAAGATTGTTCCAATCCTCACTGCTTTTTGCAACTTTGACAGTGAGTTGGTCAGGATTAATGCCCTCCTGGAGCAAAGCTTGGGTCATCTCTGTTACATTCTCACTAGGCTTCACAACAAACATAAGGTGGATGGATGGTGTACCGGTTAGTTTGATTGCTTTAGCAGCAATGTCGCAGCCTTTGATCTTGAAATATTTGGATGAACCACTGATCAACACACGGAACACTTCACTGTCATCTTGAGGGGGTCGTACACCAACAAGGTTGAGGAAAATTCCTGGTGTCAGGTCAATGACCTCTTTCTGTATTCCACCAAGTTGGAAAGCTGATCTGTAAGCTTCTGCCACTTTGGGTCCAATTGCAACCACAATATCAGCTTGTTTGCACAATGCAAGCTGCAACTCATGCTCAGATGTATGCTCAGGTGCAAATGGCACAAGTTCCTCACTCACAGTGTGCAGAACATGAAGCCACTTGCAATTCTTGGTCTCCTTAATAATCTGTGCTTGTCGACCCACTTCATGTCCATAAGACTGCATCATCAAGACATCAATATTGAGACCATCAGGTGGATAAGCCAGCAAGTCTGCTGATGAATGCCCTGAGATATCTTTTGCATCAACAAGCTCAATGCCTAACTTCTGAGCTGCATCTCTCTGCTGCTGAGTGTTTTGAGGTACAAATCCAGTAACCTTCACTTTTGGGTTGCTGGCAAGCTCAAGAAGTAACTGGCCATTCACAGCTTTGTCCCAGCCCACATTACTAGCAACCAAGGTGACATTCAGTTTCTGTGCATTTCCTGAAAGTAAAATTTTAAACAGTTACTTTAAATTATTTAATAACTATAATAATATGTTAGGTTAGGTTAAAATATTGGTGACCATATTATGACTATAACTGTAATAAAGAGATTAATTCTGCATTCTTTCCTCTTGAGCAGACATTTTGGGTGACTTATTTTGTCCAAAATTGAAAAAGGTAGGGTTTAGAAAGATAATTATAAGGTGGCATTCATAATCCATACTTCATCTAATGAGAGTTCAGTAGCTCTTGTAAGACTTAATACCTCTTTTTCTAGAGGAAAGGTAGATGTTAATCTGTAACCTTAATTTTAAGTGCAGTGAATTGATTATAATCATTCATTTAAAATAATCCCACAATTCATGGTATAGATGTGATATTACTTTCTTGAATAGGATTTCTGATATGAACTACTTCCCCCCTTGAAGTCTTCATCCCGTCCTTCCCCAACACACACCTCTAGCTAAATAGGACAGTACACATTTACACTTTGGGAGAGGTCTGTCCGTTTAGTTTTACCATAAAATAATATTTTCCTGCCGCCATTGACACATAAAATAAAAAATCTCAGTTCTCTGGTAAAAGTTCACGAAAATCGTCTACATATATAGAGAATTCCCTTTTTTTCGCCCAGCAGTCAAGTCGAAAGACGTCTAGATCCACATGTCATGATGATCTCAAAATTTGAAATAAAAATTTATCAAATGTTTCCTACTCGCCTGTAGCATCTATTTACAGCGAGTTCAAGTATAACATTTGTCATCAATGTGCATTTCGTACGACGAACCTTCAACATTTCCTCCACTTCCGTCTTCAAAGCAAAACTGCTGACGAATCAAATTAGTGCGCACTTTCAGCTTAGCGCGCTTAGTGTATGTGCTTGTGATTTTCTCACACATAGCAGTGAAAATTTTAATTTATTGAGGATAAAAGCGGATGGTAGCAGTAACTTATCTCAATTATTAAGGGCATATATGGTTAAAAGTTGACCCATTTTGGAAGAATTTGACTAAGGCTGATTTTAGCACGCACGAGAACATAGAGAGAGCTGTGTCTGATTGCACCTCGAATCTCGCTGAACACTGTAGTACATGAACTCAGATGATTAAAATGTGCTCTTCAAGAACGAAAAGATTAGTCTCACCTGTAACACCTGACATTTTGAATCATGTGGTACTCAAGATCAAAAAGATGAGAATCGAGAGTTTTCGCGAGGGTTTTCGACTATACTCTGTTACTGGTACTGTCAAATGGTCTGACCGAGGGAGTACTGGAGACGGCTTGTTTCACTTCCTTAATTTCCGCGAAGGTGAAACCGGGGGGGTGTTTAGCAAGTTTGGTGCGATGCAGAAGCGACTCCAGATGTCGAGACAAGAATGAGAAGCGAAGGAAACCATCCCAGCTACAGCGAATCAATGACCATAAATGAATGTTACATTGCAAGTAAGTTCTACAAATTTAAATTCTCTGCAGCTAATCTGCAAAAGATCAAAACCGAAAGAGGAAAACGCAATGGATTCCCCATTAAGAAACGAAAATGAAAGAATCGGTGTTAGTCCTATTCATCTTTTGCTCGCGTATGAGGTGATTCCAGCTGTTAGGTTCTTAACTCCTATGCAGGTTTGTTTTCGATCAATATTTAGACAATGCGCATAGTGATTACTCGATCGCTTTCAAGCCAGAAAATGTGTTATGATTGTCTTGTATGAATTCTCCAAACGAATCTGTAACGCATGAGATTTAAGCATATTTTCTCTTTCAAAGTTGTACATACATCCAGCGAATTTTTTTAAATTCTTAGTTTCTCATGGTTTAAATATAGCTTTGCGAGGAAACGTTGGCAAAACCATGAGTTTTCTGATGCCATGCCTTGAGTAATTAGTGATGACATTCGATCTGCATCTGGACGCGTCATCTAGTAATCGCAGCTGCCGAGTTGATTTCAAATCCTGAAAATTAAATATAGATTGTTGTTTTCATTCTGCCTCTTGTCATGTATTAAATGTAGCACTTTCAATCGATCAAAGTCAATCAGGGATACAGTTGCTTGATCATGATAATATTCTTTATAATATTCTTTAATCAGGGCGAAGGGATCAAGCTTCAAAATCTGTTTTTGGGAAAGACACTTTCCTCTTACAGTATCTCTATCTGCTAAGCGTGTCTATGGGTGCCATAAAACTGTAATGGGAACCTGACAAAACTGATATTGGGAGGTTTCCTTGCAGTGGACAAGCATCCCATTGGGGAAGGAGGGCAGGAAGGGCGAAGTAGCAACAGGGGTGGATCCAGGGAAGGGGTGTAGAGGATGTGCTCCCCCCTTGCCTGAGATGACCTGTCACTGTTTTATTGGTGTTGAAGTAAAACATGAGACAAAATTAAGGAATTCTTGTGAAATACAGCAGCCGTTAAAAATTATTTGTATTCTTGGCAGTTCACATTATGTTATTATGACAGACTGATAAATTTATTAAGTAAGAACATTTTAACATTGCAGTTAGTAAGCTGATATTTAAAATGAGTTCTAAAAAAAATAACAAATGCATAGTCCTTTAAAACAACCAACCATATAGAATATATGTCAATAAGTATCTGATTTACTTGTTTATTAGACTTATTATACGCAAAACTAATACCTACTCTATGAAAATATAGCAACAGTGTTGTCACTTGTAACAAGTTAAACAAGAAGACCACCTTGTTGCATAATCAGCAATTCATTTGAGTTATCATCAATCCATTTCTTTCGTGTCACGTTTTGTCACAATATAAATACTTGTCAATGAGTGTATATTGTCCCAACTGTAATATATGCAGAAATGCTACCAAATATATAAACTCGTGAGTTTAGTTTGATATAGAATTATTACTTTCATTTGTGTGTGTGTGAATAAAGAACTTTTGCAGAACCGAGTAGTTAACATGGTGTCAGGATTTAACAAACCCAGCTAAGACTAACGTCAACAGTGATCACCACCAGCTCTTCAAAAACATCAATCCTCTCAATCTACAATGGCTGCATTGGAGCATTTACCGGCACCGAAAGGAAACTTCACACCTGGCCCCAAATGTTACCAAAAGTGCTTGGATTGGGTTGAGGAATGTGAACTTCTTTTGAATGGTCCACCAGCTTTGAAGAGCAAAGCTGTGAAAGCAAATTATGTTCTCATTTGAGCAGGAAAAGCAGGAAAAGCTGGAAGAACACACATTAAGTCACTGAATCTCACCATGGAAGAGAAGAGAGATCCAAGTGTGCTGTTAAAAAAGTTCATGGAGTGGACAAAGCCGAAATCCAATGCACTTGCAGCCGCATCAAACTTCCGCGGCCTGGAGCAAGGTGATCTTAGCCTTGCACAGTACATTGACAAAGCCACTATTCTTTGCAACCAGTGTGAATATCCTCCAGAAGCTTTTGATTGACTACTTCGAGATGCAATAGTTATTGGACTATGCTCCAAAGAGGCCTATTACAAATGCATTGAAAAAGGTTCAGAATTGATGCTAGAAGAGGCAATAGAAATTGCTCAGAATCAGGACGCCACAGCACACCAAGTCGGTTACATGTGACCGGAATTCAAAGGCGAACCCCTACAAATGGAAGTTCATAAACTCCAAGGAAACAGGCAATCAAGAGCCAGCCAGAACAGACGGCAGCCACAAAGACCAGCTTCCAATGATCAGAAACAAGGAAGGTCAAAGAGGGAAACTTGTTTCTACTGTGGAGCAAAACCATCACATCCCAAAAGTGAGTGTCCTGCAAAGAAGGCAAAGTGCTTCAAATGTGGGAAGGAAGGGCATTACGGTTCCATGTGCAAATCAAAGAGTAAAGATGCACATGTTAATGAGTTACAAGTCTAGTCTACAACAGCTTCTGAGTGTGTGGACTGTGTACTGAATGAATACAAGCCAGTTTACTTCAACGCACCTATTCATCACCTCAAGACAGTAACAGTGGAAAGTCTCAATCATCCAAAACCAGAACCTCACATCCCCCCACTACAGCTCAGCCAGGAATCTTCATCACAAATCTTCCAGATTGACTGCAAGGTTGATACCGGTGCAAGTTGTAACATTCTGCCGTTGTACATGGCTAAAGCACTCTTTGGAAACAACTTGAAGTTGGGCAAACCAACCGTGAACCTCAAAGGCTACAATGACAGTCCAGTGGAAAACCTGCATTGTGTACCTTTACCATGGTAACAAGATATTCAGAGTTTTGTGTGAAGTTGCAGACAGCAAAGGTCATATGATCCTAGGCAGAAAGTAAGCATTAATCATGGAATACGTCAATTTCCCTGAAATCCAGAAATCTGCTGTCCAAGCTAAAACAGATAGGTCTATCAAAACACTCGTGGAAGAGCCCGCGAAAACCACTGATGGTCCAGTAATTCCAAGAGTTCAGAAATGCACTGATCCAGTGGTACCAGTGATCCAAAGGAGCACTAAAGAGAAGATAACTATTAATGGAAGGACACACTCATTGCCCACAACTAAGGATTACTTACTGCTGGAATACGCCAAAGAGTTTCAAGGCATAGGAACTTTGCCAGGTGGACCTTATCATATCCAGTTGAAGAAAGGCTACAAACCCATTCAACACCCACCGTGCCAAGTTGCAGTCAGCCTAAAACCACTCTACAAAGCAGAATTGGAGAGATTGACACAGCTTGGAGTCATTAAAGAAGTAAGGGAGCTCACCGAGTGGATTAACTCGATTGTTCCAGTTAAGAAACCAGATGGTTCCTTACAACTATGTCTTGATCCAAAGATCTCAACCGAGCGATGAAGAGGAATCAGTGGTACAGCAGGACAGTCGATGATATCTTACCAGAATTAGCAGATTTGAAGTATTTCAGCTTGCTTGACGTGAAATCAGGGTATTGGCATGTCTCTGTTGACAAAGAAAGCAGTTTCCTGACAACTTTCAATACACCCTGGGGTAAGTACCGATGGCTACGCCTACCCTTTGGGCTAAAGGTATCAGGAGATGTTTTTCAGGAAAGAATTGACAGAGTACTGAAAAGTGTACCCAAATAGTGTTGGAATCATTGACAATATCCTTTGCCACGGCAACGAAGAAACTACCCATGACATTGCAGTCATCACCCCGCTAGAAACAGCGAGAGTTAACAATCTCACTTTCAATGCAAACAAATTTGTGTTCAAGTCTCAAGATTGTGCATTCTTCAGAGGAAACCTTACCCCAGCCAGGTATAGGATGGACCCCAAAAAGGTGCAAGCCATCACAGAGATGAAACCACCAGAGAACCTTCAAGATTTGCAAAGCTTCCTAGGACTGGTAAAGTACCTAAACCGGTTCAGTCCAGCACTGGCAGGTTTAACAGCACCGCTTAGAACGCTCTGTAAGAAGGATACTCTCTTTACCTGGGAAAGCTCACAACAAACAGCATATGAGGCTATCAAAAAAGAGATTACAAGTGCACCAGTGTTGGCATAATTTGATTGGGGTAAAGCTAGCACTATTCAGTCAGATGCATCCAAGAAAGGTTTAGGAGCAGTTCTTATCCAAGATGATAAGCCTGTGATCTACGCACCTAGAGCCCTCGCTGAGACGGAACAATCTTACTCTAACATTGAACAAGAGCTGCTTAGTGTTGTTTTTGCTCTTGAAAGATTTCATCATTATGTGTATGGATACACAGCGACAGTTCAAACAGATCACAAGCCATTGGTCAGCGTATGGAAGAAATCCATAGTGTGCAACTCACCGCCTTCAGAGGCTATTGCTGAGACTATCCCAGTATGACGTAAACATTGAATACATGAAAGGGAAGGATAATGTCATAGCTGATGCACTGTCCAGAGTGTCTCCCCAGCCAGCACCTAAAGAAGGAGAAGACGAGGAAGATTTTATCTCAGTTCACATGCTCACAGAGGAAATCCCTGCTGATTCTATGAGAGTTGGAGATTTCAGACGCGCAACTGTAGAAGACACTATTTCCGGTTCACTGATGTAAGTGGTTGCAAATGGATGGCCTGAATTAAAGAAAGATTGCCACCCACTTCTTGTAGACTACTGGAGCTACAGAGAAGAGATCAGCGCCGAGAATGGTCTACTCTTCAAAGGCCATCGACTCATAGTTCCTGAGAAATTGCGTAGCAGAGTCCTCCAAACTTTCCACGAGGGTCATTTTGGTTTTGAGAAGATGCAACTAAGAGTCCGAGAAGCAGTATTCTGGCCAGGAATAATCTCAGATTTACTACAGGCAGCACAGGGTTGTGAAGTGTGCCAGACGTTCTCAAGGAGCCAACAATGTGAGACACTGTTGCCCCGTGAAGTTCCTCAAGGACATTGGGAGAAGTTAGGAATTTATTTCTTTGAGTTTCAGTCTACTACCTACCTCCTGATAGCAGACTACTACAGAAGGTTTCCTGTGATCCGGAAAATACGCAGCACCAACACAAGTGCTACCACCGAGATTCTGAAGCAAGTGTTTAGCGAATATGGAGTGCCTCAAACTGTTATGACAGACAACGGCCCCCCATTCTCGTTGAAGGAATTTGCAGCCTTTGCAAACCAATACCGCTTTGACCACATCATGTCTAGTCCTTGTTACCCACAGAGTAATGGTTTCATCAAACATATGGTGCAGACGGTCAAGCAGTGTATGAGGAAATGTGCAGCCACAGAACATGATCCAAGCTTAGCTATGTTGATCTACAGAGCCACACACCTTACTACCAGCATACCATCACCTGCAGAGCTATTGAGTGGATGAAAGTACAGAGCATTACTTCCAACCAAATCCCCTATCCAGAATCCTCATTACCAGGTTGTCCGAGAGCAAATGGTGAAAGACAAGATCAAAATGTGCGAACACTACAAAAAAACTGCAAGGGATCTACCTTCACTGCCACAGAATCAGAGAGTGTATGTACAAGTTCACCCCCAGTGTAACCAATGGATTCCAGCAACCATTACCAAAACACCAGTAGCATCTCAACCAAGATTGTACAGTGTTGAAACTACTAAGGGAGTCCAGTTAGTGAGGAATCGTTGCTTTATTCATCCAGCACAAGAGATTGCTCCCATACCTGCTGAAAGTATGAAGCATGGCGGCAGCAGTAACAGCAAATGACCAAGACATGTGATTACAAGACCTAAAAGACTTATAGAGACAATTTAATTAGTTTCAGCGTTTCAGTTAAGGCCTAAGTTTTTTTTTTTAGTAGAGGGGAGATGTTGCATAATCAGCAATTCATTTGAGCTATCATTAATCCTATTCATTCCGCCATTCACGTCTTGTCACGTTTTGTTGCAATGTAAGTACTTGTCAATGAGGGTATATTGTCCCAACCGTAATATGTGCAGAAATGCTACCAAATATATAAACTCGTGAGTTTAGTTCAATATAGGATTATTACTTTCATTTGTGTGTGTATGAATAAAGAACTTTTGCAGAACCAAGTAGTTAACACACCTTGTCATAAACCTTCTTCTTCCTTGCTTGCTTTTGAAATTTATTTCAGTCACCCATCAGTCATGTCATTCTTTAGTAAGAGCAAATACTCTTAGTTATACCTGACTCTAGATGACACAGTTGAGTTTGAATTTTCAAATAAAATTTAGTTTTCTTTCCTCCTTTTTCCACAGTTGGCTTCTCAGCAGTAAAATATGGAGAAATGTAGATTAAACATAACCTTGGCCACTGGTGCAGTTGGATGGAACACATTGGTGAACAACCAGTTACTTATTGAACTTGCAAAAAATTCAAAAGTGAAAGTGACTGGACTTGTGCCAAGAAGCACCCAGGAACAGAAAGAACAGGCCAAGAAGTTAAATGTTGAACTTGTTGATGGCCAAGAACTAGATGGTTTTTCTTCAATGGAACTCCTGTCTTTCCCACCAGATGATCTTGAAATTGATGTTTTGTTCATGCACTCATATGGGCTTCATGAGGGAAAACATGCACAGAACATAAGAACAGCTAAGAAATGTAAATGGTTTCACATCATCCATACCATTGGCGAAGAACTTGCTAAATATATGGATAACAAATGTGAGCAGGAGTCAGAGCACCAGCTACAGCTTAAACTGAGTCGGAAAGCAGACTGTGTAATTGCAATTGGTCCCAAAGTAGCAGACACCTTCAGATCTGAACTGTGTCATTGTGGAAAGAGCAATGATGTCATTGATTTAACTCCAGGGATCATGAAGGAATTGGTAGGTGTGCGAGCATTCCAACAACGTGGAGAAATCTTCCGCATCTTGATCAGTGCAACATGGTTTGCAAAGTATTACAAAGTAAAGGGGCTGGATATTGCAGCCAAGGCCATGACGTTCTTGAAAGAGGTATCATGCCATCTGATCTATATTGTCAACAAAGATGAAGATACTGAAGACCTCAAGAACCAACTCCTTCAGGAAGGGATTGAGCTGAACCAGCTTACTGTGCGACGTTTGCAAAGTTCTAACTTGGAAAATTGGAAGAGTCAGCTGTGTCAAGTCAATCTTATCATTATGCCAGCACGAACAGAGGGCTTCGGCACAACCAACCTCCGTGCTATTTCTGCTGACCTCCCAGTACTTGTCAGCCAGAATTGTGGTTTTGGAATGGCTCTGAAGAAATTGCCCTCTGGAGAAAAACATGTCATTAAATCAAATAAACCTGAAGTTTGGGCAGAGAGGATAAAAGAAGTCCTAGAAAAAAGCCCAGAAGATCTGATGTCAGAAGCGAAGAAGCTTCGCAAAGAGTATGAGGAAAAATACAACTGGGAGAAGCAATGTGAAGATCTTGTTGACAGAATGCTTACAATGTTTCCAAGCAAACAAGGTGTGTTTGATTTATCACAGATTCACAGAGTGCTTGTCCACGCTAAGAGAAGGTTCACTTTGAGAGCTAGCTCTAATGGTATAGCAAAATTTAATGTTGGTGAATTGTTGATTTACCTGAATTTACTCCCACTCCTGGTTTTTTTCTCTCTGAAGAGTTATAGTATCACAAATTTTTTTCTGCATTGTACAAGAGGTATTTTCAATGGCATCATATATCATTCACTAAAATACCTATGAATGCCTTGAGTTACAACTGTTGAGTGAGTCTCAACTATTACAAATTAAATACAAAATTTCTGCAAAAAGTTGTTCTTATTTTTTCTTATATTTTGAAAAAGGGAAACCAAAGCTCTGCTCTTGATACTTTTAACTCAAACTGCCTTTCACTAGCATTGTGTTTACATCTTTTGTCCTTAATGTAGTCCCTTTATTGGGAGACGCAGTGGCCAGAGGTCTGTGTTCAAGATCAGGCAGGTCAATGTGTTGTGTTCTTGGGCAAGACACTTTTAGCCTCTCTCCACCCAGGAGTATGAATGGGTACCACCTAATTTTCAGGGAAGCCTGAAGAAATGCGGGGGGGGGGGGGGGTAACCTTGTGATGGACAGTGGAGCATTCTATCCAGGGGGAGTGGTAATACCCCTATTTGCATCATGATACATTGAGACCTGGATAAACTCTAGCTGGGTGGGCCACTAGGGTTATGTACAGTCACTCTACCCTTACTTTTACTCTCTTTATGTAACAAATAGAGAAGCCTTGACTGTGCTCTGTTCTGTTGTAAAGCAGGAAAGAAACAGAGCACGAAAGAAGTGTAGGGAGGAACACAAGACATAGTTGAGTGTGTCTTTCCACTTCTTGAGTACTCAGCTTGAGTGCTCAGCTCTGTGTTTTGTACTCTGGTAGATTATAATGTGGCTTGGGTTCAATTTTCGAACTTGGTGTCTATCAAATGTGGGTTCATTTTGTTATTGGTTTTTGTCCTTGCTCAAGAATTTTTCACAGGGAACTCTACTTTTGTTTTCCTCTCTCCACGCAAAAAAAAAAGATTAACACTCCAACTCCCAATTTAACATGGAAACAGTGAGCAAAGAAATACTTTGTGGTTTTTTTATTTGTGTATGTTTTGATATATATATATATTTCATTGTTTTTAGCAACTTGATTAAAAGAATGTCTTTTCTTTCTCTCTTCAGAAGATTTCAAACAATGTGTTGAGCACGGTGAAGAGTCTGACCAAGCAAGGGGAGGGGATCCAGAAGTCCAACAATGTGAAACCGAGGTAATGGTATATGAGGAGAGAATGCCTGAAAATGGTAACCTTGGAAGCCCAGAGCTGAGGCTTGCAGGAAAAAAGAAAATCAACCAAAGTGAGAGAAAAGCTAACAAGGAGATGGTTGATGTTCTCCAGAGCAGGACTCAGGAACTGAGCATTGTAACAAGAGAGTCTGAAAGTAAGAGCATGGACTACAAGGAAAAGGTTGAAATTGTCCAGGACAGGACTCAGGAGGTGGGCCATGCAGCAGCAAAGGAGTTCAAGGAAAATGGAAGTGGATTTGATCAGGCAGATGGTGCCGCAGCAACATTAGATAGTGTTAATGATAGTAAATCAAACAGGAATCAGACAGGAAAGCCTGTCAAAGCTCAAGACATTCCTTATTCTATTTTGAGTAAAATCTGCATGAAACTTAACATAAAGAATGACTTGTCTTTTAAAGATTTTCGCCTGCTTGGAGAAAAAATGGGATTTGATAAAGATTTGACAAAGGTTTTAGAACAGAAAAGTAATCCTACTTATGAACTTCTTCAAATATGGCATTCAAATCCTGAATCAACTGTGGAAAATCTTTTAATGATACTCAAAGATGATGAAATGGGGAGATGGGATGTTGCAACCATTCTCGAAGACTGGTTGGAAAAAAAAGGGATTAAGAATTAGTTATAAATAATGAAGAGTGTATAATATTAGGGTGGTTTGGCAGGAGGAGACAAATGTTTTCAGTGTTAATTACAGTTGATACACTGCACTGATAGATGAGGTGCTGAAATATTTTCAGTGGCAGAACAAGCATGTGAAGGGTGTTTCCTGCAATTTAAATTGTGAGATTTAATCAGCAAATGTAAAAATGTTAGCATAAAAAGTACAAAGGTAGGAAATATTATAGGAGTATAACTGTTGTAGTAGTGGAGGAGTTGAAAAAGACTGATAAACTGTTTTAAAAAACTTTTAGTTTTTGAATTTGGAATTTTAGTCTTTTTGCATTAGTCATCAATCTTAGGTTGACAATATTAGCACAAATAAAAGTTTTTGTGAATCACAAGTCACAGAAATTGACAAGCACAACTGTGTAGCAATCATAGCCAAAGCTGTTTATTTTTCTAAATTAGATGGCTTTTTAGCTCAGTGTTCTCCACAGATTTTGAAGAAGTCTGCTGTGATGGTAAAGTAACCAGAGCTTACAAATCAAGTGCAAATTCAAGCTACGCTCGAAATTGTCTTACAAAAAAAAAAAGAGAATTGTTTTCTGTGGCTTTGTAAAACAAAAGTAGCGGGCACTCGAGACGTGAGTATCCAGCAAAAACGCCGGCTGCCAGGGCTTCTGGAGAACACTGTAAGCATTTATATATAGACTAAGTAAGTATACTTTAAGAAAGTGGTTCATAAGCAGAGGGTATCCATGTAATGGCCTCTCACCTGGTACTAACTTAAAAATAAATATCTGTGATTGAAAGATTATAATAATAATAACTCAAAATAGACATTTGCCATTGAAATTGGGAGAAAGGAAATGTGATACCACTTAAAGTAGTGTCACATAGAGGAGAAGTCTTTGGTTTGAAGGTTTCTTTTTTATGTTTAAGTGTAACTTTACTTATGTTTTATTTAAGAAAAGGTGATCTTTTGTGAAAATGTCACATTTACAATAAAGTTTCACACATTGTATCTGTGAAGTTTTGGTTGTGGTTAACATATACTTCCAGTTTACAAACACAATGAAATTTTAATGAACAAACTCTTGGATCCTCAGTCAGTCTTCTTAGGTTATTTCCTTTGTTCCGGTTGTCCACCTTGATTAATTTGCGTTGGGTTTAAAACAGAAGTCAGAATCTCTCTTAAAATATGTTTTGAGGACACTATGTGTAGCGTTATATGAATGATTTTCACAAATTTCGGTAATTTCGCGGATCACCAAATCGTTCGGACCCTAATTGCTACATGTGGGCCCACTCTTTTCAAGGGATTACTTTTTGTAGACGTAGGCAGACATCCACATAGACATCTATTAGATGAAGTCTTCGAGGAAATGATAAATGGATTATAACTTTGTACACGCGATCTCTCGGTATGGCGAGTGGAAACTCAGGTAAATTATAGGCCTCTGTCATTCATCTAAATAGGGATGTTATTCTGTAATTAACACTCAAATGAGCTTTGAAAGTTACCAGCAGACGCCCAACTCCGTTAAAATGTTTAAATAGTTCACTTTAAGATGCGAAAGTTTACTATAGGTAGTGTATGGCAATATTACGATACCAAAAAATTAAACTCGATTTGGCTATCATATAAATTTTGAACCAACTCACAAACTGTATGACTTGGCAATTTGGTGACTGGATTCATTTACATTGCGGAATTAAGTTTTATTCTAATATATCCTCGGGACTTGAGATAGATATTAGGGGCATGTCAGTTGTTGAAACATTCGAGAAATTGTCTTGAAAGACTCTTTGTTCTGAGCAAACCGGAAATGCTTATAGTCAATTACGGCAATAACACAAGGTAAAATTTCCGCACAGCCCCGTACTATTGTAAAACAATTCTGTTTTCCCAATGGCAATGTGTTGTTTTGGTCATTGTTTCCTCTATCCAAAAACTGAATGCATAATGTAGTATGGGGCTATGCGGAAATTTTACTCTTGAATTTGCACATTACGAAACACAACGTGAACATAATGCAATTACATGTAGACCCAAATAGCCATATCTATTTCCTTCCATCATGTATTTGTGAACTTATCACGATGGAGAAGTTAAAATAACTTGGTTTGAAATTTTAAAAATGTTGTCTAGGTACAAGTAATTTTAAGTTATCTTAAACATTAAAATTTAATTCCATTTGAAAGAAAGGTATTGGTTGGAGTAATTATGATACTGTAAGATCTCTGTGGTTGATTAAACAAATGCAAGCACCTTTTTTGTGGGGGGTAAATATGTTTGTTGGGAGTGGGGTTTCAGTGATTTCTAAAAAGTTTTTTTAAATGAGATGAACTACAGGTTTTAAGATAATCTTAGTTTAGTTTACTTGTTATTTCATATTTTTTTTTGTCTAAATTGCAGTTTCAAAACTGAATGTTACTTTGGCATCAGATGTTGATGGCTGGAACAAAACTGTCAATGGACAGTTAGTAATTGAATTGGGAAGAAATGACAGACTCTGTGTGACTGGTTTTGTGCCAAAGAACACACAACAACAGCGAGAACATGCCAGAAGTCTAAACATTCAACTTGTTGAATCTAAGGACCATGATGGATTTTCATCTGCAGAGCTACTGTGTTTTCCTCCTGATAATCTTAATATTGATGTTCTGTTCATACATTCTCATGGAACTAATTTGGGTCGACAAGCTCAAGCCATAAAAGATTTGAAGAAATGCAAATGGGTTCAGGTTGTGCATTCGTTTCATGAAGAATGTCATACAGCTAGGTATGGAAATGAAAATGAACTGCAAAGGAAAATGTGTGAAAAGGCTGATGCTGTTATTGCAATTGGTTCAAAGACTGCAGAATCATGTAGACGAGCACTGCGTTATTCCTTAAAACAGGAAAATGTCATCAACCTCACACCAGGTGTTTGTGAAGACCTTATTGGTGTGCGCCGGGTTTATGAGGATTTGGCAACCTTCCATGTGCTAATAAGTGGATCTTTGAGTCATTTTAGCATCAAAGGATGTGATGTTGCAGCAAAAGCAATCAAATTATTGAATACACCATCTTATCATCTGACTGTTGTTGTGAAGTCACATGATGAGACTGCTGGCATCACAGAGGCTTTGCTTAATGAGGGGATCAATTCACAACAACTGGATGTATGTGTTGCTGGAAGCCGTGAAGAGTGGCGAAAATTGATGTGTAAAGTGGATCTTGCCATTAAACCTTCAAGAAATGAAGGATTTGGAATGAGTGGTCTTCTTGCCATTTCTGCAGACTTACCTGTGCTGATCAGTGAACACTGTGGACTTGGCATGGTTCTGAAGACTGTGTTATTTGGAAATTCACACGTGGTGGACTCAGTCAAACCAGAGGTTTGGGCTGACAGGATACAGCAAGTCAGAGATAAAGACCCAGAACTTCGCCGCGAAGAAGCAAAGCAACTGAGGGATGGTTACACACAGAAGTTCAACTGGAAGAATCAATGTGAGAAAGTAGTGGAGACTCTGTGTAAACTTGGCCAAAAGATTGGTATGCATGATTCAAATGTAACAGTAACAGTGACATTTGTTAATTATTAAGTTTTAAGGATTTACCAACAATATGGCATTAAAATCTCTCTAGTTTTCAGCCCTTTTGTGTCAAGTAAAAGCAAATTATCCTCAGCCACCAACTTTTCATTTTTCAATGGCTCTTTATGATTTCATAATATCTCAACAGTATCATGTACCATGATAAGTTCTTGATTGTTGTTATTGTGGTGGAGAGAAGACTTGCTCTTTTTTTTAACCCTTTTCACCCCAACATCAGTATGCATATTCTCCCTAACATCAGTATGTATATTCTCCCTAACATCAGTATGTATATTCTCCCTAACATCAGTATGTATATTCTCCCTAACATCAGTATGCATATTCTCCCTAACATCAGTATGTATATTCTCCCTAACATCAGTATGCATATTCTCCCTTACATCAGTATGCATATTCTCCCTAACATCAGTATGCATATTCTTCCTAACATCAGTATGTATATTCTCCCTAACATCAGTATGCATATTCTCCCTAACATCAGTATGCATATTCTCCCTAACATCAGTATGCATATTCTCCCTTACATCAGTATGCATATTCTCCCTTACATCAGTATGTATATTCTCCCTAACATCAGTATGCATATTCTCCCTAACATCAGTATGCATATTCTCCCTAACATTAGTATGTATATTCTCCCTAACATCAGTATGCATATTCTCCCTAACATCAGTATGCATATTCTCCCTAACATCAGTATGCATATTCTCCCTAACATCAGTATGTATATTCTCCCTTACATCAGTATGCATATTCTCCCTTACATCAGTATGTATATTCTCCCTAACATCAGTATGCATATTCTCCCTAACATCAGTATGCATATTCTCCCTAACATTAGTATGTATATTCTCCCTAACATCAGTATGCATATTCTCCCTAACATCAGTATGCATATTCTCCCTAACATCAGTATGCATATTCTCCCTAACATCAGTATGCATATTCTCCCTAACATCAGTATGCATATTCTCCCTAACATCAGTATGCATATTCTCCCTAACATCAGTATGCATATTCTCCCTAACATCAGTATGCATATTCTCCCTAACATCAGTATGCATATTCTCCCTAACATCAGTATGCATATTCTCCCTAACATCAGTATGCATATTCTCCCTACTCAGTTCTCTAAGATTCCTACATATACTGACAAAGAGAATTTGTTTAATCAATCAAGGGTTTCTTATGTTGGTGATCGTTTCTATTATCTCATATCCTGTGACATGATTAAGGAGTGATATTGTTAGGAGAGTTTGGATGCTAATCACCCTTAGTGGTTACAGGGTTAACTGGAATGAAAGGGTTAATTACATTACATTCATAGCCATTTTTCTGCCACAGAGCCTGGAAAGTCCTAGTAGTTTACCAGTTATGAAATGCTGTTCTTTTTTTATGTGATTGCTGTGTCTTCAGTCAAGATTGCTATATCAATAGTATTTAGATTTTGGAATTATTAAATATATTGGGAAACAAAATATAACAAGCTGGTGTTTTGAGCCAACACCTAGCATTTTGATTTTTAAAATGTGGCTTCAGGCCCTGGAGGTTACTTGGACATAGAACATACATTTACCTAATGTTTCAAACTACATGCTACATTGCACTCTGTTTACATGTTATTGTAGAATTTTTGTCATTTTATGTATTATTTCTCCTGTTACAGAGGGACCTACAGAAAAGCAGGACCAAGAGGAGGCAGTAATGAAACTTACTAAAACAGTTGAAAAGACCAACTTATCTGATGAAAGCTCTACCAGAGAGGAAAAAGACACTAAGATGAAACAGGATGTGGTAGATGCTGGAAGAAGCCTGGCAAATGAACGGCTGTCAATGAGTGTCAAAAACTTACCTCTACCAGTATATTCGAGAGTCTGTTTGTCACTGAATGTCCTGAGAGATGTGCGATGGGATGACTTTCGAATGCTGGGTGAGAAAGTTGGGCTCTCTAGAGATGAGATTGACTTTATACAACAGCAGAGAAACCCCACTGATGAAATTCTGAAAACATGGTCATCAAATCCCCATGAGGCAACAGTGGCAAAATTGATTGAACTTTTGAAACACAAAGATTTTAGAAGAATGGATGTGGCACAAATACTTGAAGAATGGGTTTCTTCACAAGAGAGATGAATGATAAGTACAATAATTAATAGTTAGCATTTTTAGAAATTCTTTCACTGTAGAAATGCTCTAAATTCACAATAACAGCATTTATGAGTTGTTACTTCAAAGGGACTTAAAGCTTTTAGATGGACATTTTTTTGTTTATTTTGTTTTTATCTTCCTTAATCTTTAATTAAGATGTTCTTATAATGGCTGACTGTTAATAAAGTACAACATATTGGCACCTTAGTTTTGTTAAGCTTGTGGCTATGTCATGTCCCTTACGCATTTAAAACCAAATAAAATTTATAAATAGTTGTATTAATATAATATGAAGCAATTTTTTAGTTGTTTTGTTGGATTTCTAGGGAAAAATGTTACCCAACATTTTAGCAAACAAGTGAGGTGATAAAATTCCCTACTGTCAGAGAATCAACGATTTTTTCTTTTCCTTTTGGTTCACATTAAACTTCAATGTTTGACTGGGAATGTCAATGAATCAGATGTGGAACTTTCCATGTTTCATACATAAAGGCAATGCAAACATTATTTGTCATGGTGTTTTAAAGGAAACAATAATTTTTATTGCATTATAAATTATGTATCTTATGAGTTTGGTACTGATGGACCAAACTCGTTTTAAATGTTTTTAACATTTCAAGGACATTTTGCCCTTATTTAACCCAAGCTTTTCTTATACTATTAATTGAAGCTGTAGCAATAAAAAATATCAGTCAAAAAGTTGTGACAAAATTCTATGTTTACTCCAGGAGAACATAATTGGCAACACAGAATGCTTTGTTTATTATGGTCACTAATTTTGACAGTAAAATGTATCATTATGCTCTGTAATTTAGTATTATCAAGTGAGTTGATAATGTAAATTGGCCACTCTTAAGAGTTTAAAAGCTGATGTTTCAAGTGTTAACCCTTTGTTGGAGCAATTGGAGGAATTGTGGATTGTGTATGTTTATGAGCAAAAAGTGGAGCTGCGCTATTGGTGGGAATACAGTGACAACAAAACTATGTATCATTATACTCTAATCACTCTGAAACGTGTACAAAATATTTTGTAATAAATATTCAGTAAACACATAGTTCCAGGCAGTTATTGATGTCCATCAGCATATATTGGTTACTTTAACACTAAGAAGACATATTCTCCTACGGTTTACATAAAAGTTCACACGCAAGAAGAAAAAAGCAAGTGTAAGAGATGCCTTTGAATGGTTTCTGCATAACTTACAATCTCTTTAATAGCAAAACAAATCCCACCACAGGCACCTCAAGCTCCAGCTGTGAGATGATCATCTTGCATAATAAGAGTTATGGTGAAAATATGAGGTATAGGAATATTTATGACCACTCTTAAGAATAAAAAATATAGTCAAATTCTCAACAAAAATACTTCACCTTACTTTCACAGTACATTGCTTCTTTTGTGACCGCTTACTTTGTTGCAATGAGGCCATTTTAGAAAGTTATCCAATTCTAGGTTAGAGTAGTAAACCTAGAAATGAATAACTCACTAAAATGGCTTCTTTTCAACATAGTAAGCAGTCAGACAGCGAGCAATGCACCATGGAAGTTCTTTGCCAAAATTTTTGTCACAATGAATTACTGTCTAGGAATGGCAGTTTAAATTGCACACAGAGCTAGCATTAGTCATTCATCTCATTACTCATTTCTTTGGTTATTTTTAAGCTTTATTTCTATTTTCTGTTTTTAAACATAGATGGTACTCCAACAGGTTGAAAGACTCGCAGTGGATCCCTTGGGCCTGGTATCATGTAAGGAATCAAGCCTGTCAAAAAATTGCACAAGTAGAGTTATATACACCATGACAGGGGCAAGTAGACTGCAATAGATGGAGCACTTTGCAACTAACCAACTGCAAAGTGTAGTGCCCAACGGATTGATGTAGAAAGTTAGGATCAGTGGAAAGGTCTTAGAATTGTCTATACTGTATTCTATTCTCTCTTACATCACCACAACCTTTTGTGCTCCTGTGCACTCCTCCTTGAGTTCTCTAGGCCACATTCACAAAAAGGCAACAATACATCTTAAACTGATAAAATTCCACAAAAAAAATCCCAACAGCATACCTTTGTCTCGAGCTTCAATTATTGCCTTTGTTAAAAGTTTGTGCTGTTTTTGGCAAACACCTGTAACAAAAAGAGCAGAAAAAATTAATGCAATTGAAAACTCCCCCTCAATATTTTAAGGAAAACAATTGGGTAAATAAACAAATGATCCAAGCACAGCAAAAAAAAAAAAAAAAAAGCTGTATAACTGGGTTTTCCATAATTTTTCCCATGAGCAGCTGCCAATGGTGTAATAGCCAGCTGTGCCATTGGGTGAAATCAAAACAAGAGAACTTGCTTGAAGGCTAAACAGACAGCAGTCGGAGGTCTTATGGGCAGCAGTTGACTGCCACTAAGTGCCTTTTATTGAGACTCCTGGGTAGCAAGTGCTCACACTAACCAAGATGCAAATTAAAAGGTAGGCACATGATTAAATTACTCGAGTTGGTTATGATAGCCTCAAAGAAATGAAAAAGAGAAGGGTTACTATGTGTAGTGCTATATTTGTCCTTACTAAAATAACTTCACCAATCCTTTTGTAGAAAGCACTATCACCTGTTTTGATTGTTTCAAGAATCTTTTCTGTGTGAGGGCAGATGAACTGCGACAATAAACCCACATCCTGAAAATCAAATTTAGTGCAATCTTTAAGCTGTTGAAGTTTCTGAAAACAACTTCTAATGTTGTGCATTTTCTATACTTCTACAAAATTTTTTTTCTTCACTTGCCACCAACCACTGTGCCAGGCTAATGTGTCAGTCAATTTCGAGCATCAACCTCTCCAGTTTTCCCACACATTTGAACTTTTATAGATTAGCTCATTCAAATTCCTGCCAGCCAGGAAAAATGCCTGTGACTTCCCTGGAGGGAGGAAATTGCAACAACCTGAAATTCATTGCAAGCTCAGCCATAATTCCACGTTAAGAAAAATCTAGGGTGACTCAATTGGCACAGTTTGTAGATCGACTAGTGACCACTGACTACATGGCACAACTTGAAATCTAACAAGTACATGATTGCCAAAGACGGAGACTACTCCCCACAAAATATTGCATGACCTATTCCTAGGCACCAGCAAAGTGTGAGAGTATACATCTTCCACTACCTTTGTTTCACTCAGTCAGAGAAGGAAAGAAGGATGACACACTTCAAGCATTACCATGCCTAACTTGTCCATGCCCCATGGGTACAGTGGAGAACCATAACTGTTACATATTTATAACCAAAACCACTCATAAAATACCCTGACATTGGGCCAATTTGACAGGTCACATGACCAAAGATACAAAAAAGACCCCAGCCACCAGCTGTATATTATGATAATTTTACTGAATATGACAAAATTAACAAACCAGTTAAGTAAAATGGTATTGTTTCTACAAACACAAGTAGCTGTTAACAAGTTATTACTTTTTTAATCACTCACTGTATAAACCAGCTCATAATTTCTCTCTGCTTTAAGTTGACATATGGGACAGGGATTGCTGCATACTTTGGTACCAGCCTGAAAAAGAAATAGGTTGTTGCGTTCTACAAAATTCATGACTCATCACTGGTTGTTAATAGTGATGGCAACAAATATTTGGATATTCCTTTTAGGTATCTATAGAGCAATAATACTCAGCTAAAATGCTATTGATAATAATGAGCAACTATTCACCAAAGCAGAGGTAGCTGGTAGTGGATATTTATTAATGCCGGAAGTGGCAAGATAAATACCCACCACTAAACCACCTAAAATGAGGTAAATGGTTGTTTTATTACAGTAAAAAAAGTATCACTCCTACTGAAAAATATGAAAGTGTGCTTCCACACAGTGTAAACAACTTGGTCCATGAAAGCAACATCATTCATCCATGATATTATGCTTATTTTCAACCTTGCAATCCTTTATATATTTAAAACTACTATATTAACTATTCTAGGCTTAATCATCATAAAAACTCTTTTTCTATCATTGGGGCTAAAATTTGGAACAGTATTCCCGAAAGCTATCGAAGTCTGCCGAAGCACATATTCATTATATATTCATTCCCTCTTTTGTCAAATAATGTATGCAAAATCAAGTAATTCGCATAATTCGTGTTTTTGTAATTCGTGTTGTATGTCCTTAACACCGCCTGCCTAGATTAGCTCGCTATTTGCAGGAGGTGATTATTGTACAAAGATTTTCCTGCAAACTTAATAAACTTGAAACGTGAAACTTGAAACTTAAAGAAATACAAATTACTATTCTAGAACCCAATGGGAAAACTTTGCAATTATTCCTCAGTGGCTGCCTGTATATATTTAGACTTAACAACAGCCAAAGGTTCATAGTGCAGTCCAATCACATTACACAAATCCCAATTTTGTTGCAAGATTAATATAACAGAGGTCAGATTGACCTGGTGGTAAATACTTGACTGTGTACAGCCACTACCCTGCCCTAAAACAAAACACCTTTTTTAAAATTGTTTTCAGAAGGCTAGGGGAAGCTGTACACTGGCTTTTCAAAGCAACAGGATATTTCTAAAGCAGGCTCTCATGTGTACCTAACCAAAATTTAAATAAAAACTTACAAAGCAGTTCCGTCGCGTTTTCTGTCAAAGAAACAAAACACAAAAGGCAAATTTAGCAATTAGACTAGGAGTGCAGCAACATATCAAAACATAAAGCTTTCCAAGGGAAAAAATTCCACAAAATTAAGTCCCACAATTGGCAGGTAAGCTTGTTGTATTGACTCAGCAACAAAATCACACAAAATGCATCACCTTCTTGTCTGTAGACTTCACAAATACTTAATTAAAGAATGACTTTATAATTAGAGAAAGAACTTTACCTGGGGTGGAAACTGGCCTTTAAAATTTCTTTGGAAATTTGTCCAGATTGGTTTTCCTCCTTGAGCAAAAATGAAATGAGTAAAACAAAAACTTATCAAACAATTAATATATTGTATATTTTTAGCTACTTTAAATCAGAGCTGCCCAAGTTCTATCATTATCACAGTGAGAATGGTAAAGTATCATTAAAATTAAAAATTAATCTTGTTTCTGACAAGTTGATACTAGACCACAATAATAAAAGAGGAGATAGTCACAACATGCTCAGCCAACTCAGCAACTGTGGTGTTGTAGGAATAATAGAACATAGATTAACAGCAAATGAGAATTACTGGGCCAGAAAACTTGAAAATGTTCCAGAGTCAATCTACAAGATATAAAACAAAATTTTACTTATTTTGATTATTTGCTATTTATTTACATATTGGTATAGGTTATTGCTTTCTGCTTTATTCAAAAATTAATAATGCAAAGATCCTTTGCAAGTTAGAACAAATGACAAAGAACTTACCCTGGCAACATTTCCTTCAGAAATTTTTTTATGGTGGGCAATTTACATTATCAACTCAGTTCAGAAAGCCAAACTATCTTAAGTTGCAATAATCCCCACCGATACAGCACCAAAGTTTCTTTAGAACTTAACCCCCTTTATTCATTAGCTTGAAACCATTGATAATGATTTAGACTTTGATTTAACCCTACTGAAACTAGTAGTTGTAAGTAGGACCTGAAAAAAATTTCAGGCCCGTACGGGATTTGAACCCATGACCTCTGCGATACCGGTGCAGCGCTCTACCAATTGAGCTAACAAGCCAACTGGGAGCTGGTCAATGAATTGGGTACAAAATAAACATCCGAGTGAATGAAGATTTAGATATATGAAAATTCACATATTTGCACTGCGGTGGAAAGATGAAATTAGAAGATCCTCGCAGCTAATAACACTACTGAAACTAGTAGTTGTAAGTAGGACCTGAAAAAAATTTCAGGCCCGTACGGGATTTGAACCCATGACCTCTGCGATACCAGTGCAGCGCTCTACCAATTGAGCTAACAAGCCAACTGGGAGCTGGTCAATGAATTGGGTACAAAATAAACATCCGAGTGAATGAAGATTTAGATATATGAAAATTCACATATTTGCACTGCGGTGGAAAGATGAAATTAGAAGATCCTCGCAGCTAATAACACTACTGAAACTAGTAGTTGTAAGTAGGACCTGAAAAAAATTTCAGGCCCGTACGGGATTTGAACCCATGACCTCTGCGATACCGGTGCAGCGCTCTACCAATTGAGCTAACAAGCCAACTGGGAGCTGGTCAATGAATTGGGTACAAAATAAACATCCGAGTGAATGAAGATTTAGATATATGAATTAGGATCGAGGATCCTAATTCATATATCCTGCGAGGATCTTCTAATTTCATCTTTCCACCGCAGTGCAAATATGTGAATTTTCATATATCTAAATCTTCATTCACTCGGATGTTTATTTTGTACCCAATTCATTGACCAGCTCCCAGTTGGCTTGTTAGCTCAATTGGTAGAGCGCTGCACCGGTATCGCAGAGGTCATGGGTTCAAATCCCGTACGGGCCTGAAATTTTTTTTCAGGTCCTACTTACAACTACTAGTTTCAGTAGTGTTATTAGCTGCGAGGATCTTCTAATTTCAACTTCATTTGATTTAACCCTTAGACTACTAACAGTGACTAGCATCTAATTTCTCCTTACAATTAAGTCCTGAATCAAACATTGGGGTCACAACAATAAAGGAAATGATGACTAAGCACAATCTCCTTGTTGACCTCATAGGAGATGTTTAGAGAACAGTATGGAGAATTTGCATATTAATAAAAGGGTGTAGAGGGTTTTGATTAGCTTCTACATGTATACTGTAAATTAAAAAAAAAACACACACACACAGAGACACATACTTATCAGTAGAATCTGGATCAATGATTCCTCCTTCAATTTTTCCAACTAGATGATTACGCATTGCTGAAGACATCCATTGCTCTTTTCCTGTGAAGAAATTAAAAAGAAAAAAAAGACAACAAAATAAACAAGAATACTTTAATGTCACATCCAATTGACCATAGGTTTTAAACTGGGTTTACAAACCTTTGGAATTCCATCAAACAAATAAAGATTTACAAGAAGAGATGTCTGTGCTGACAGATCAGCCCCTTCATCTTGACTGAAACTGTAAATATGTATGCTGAACCCTTTAACTTCCTCATCAAATTTGTAATTCTCCCTACTGTCAACTGTACAATTCTTATAATGTTAGTTCAGAGAATTTAATATGAGATCAACTAATTATTTCCAAATTGATGTTTTTCTTAATTCTTATTACTTATCTGTTTGATATTGTATTGATATTGTAAGGAGAAATTCTGTCTTGGTCACTCACGGGAGTTAAAGGGTTAAGTTAAAAGACAAACAGTTACCATATTGCACACTTCTAAGGAGTTCTGCTGTAATGGGAGTGATGACTCTGTGGGCTTTAATATTTTTCTTGTCACTTGAATGAGTAATTCCTATAAAATATTGTGGGTACATTAAATGTTATGAATAAAGATCCATGTTCCCTCACAAAGAAATCCCTTGATATCTTATTAATATGAATCGCACAGACAGTCTATTTCAAAGTGCTTAGTGACCAAATTCTACAATGAATTCCCTTGTAAGTAAAACTGGCGATGATTAAGCGAGTGTATTGCCAATAATCATGTACATACATGCAGAAGGTACATTCATAAAATAAATAGAACCCAAAAAGTACTTATACTGCATTTAAATCCCCAGCAAGCATGGTCGCTGGAAAAATTTTTTCCGAAAAAAAAAGATGTAAAAAAATTACGAGCGATTTTTTATTATCAGGCTAACGTAAAAAATTCAAAGACTGCTAAGTTGTTAAGGAAGGGGTTGCACATGACATATTACCTCTGGCCCAAGAACGTCGCACGAGCCATGATTGATCCCTTGGGCGATAGTTATATAACGATCTATCTCTGAAACAGAAACTAGAAAATCTTTGTGGAATTTTACGTCCAAAATCACACAATGAATTCATAGCAAGATTCTTCGGTAATACTCGAGGGAAGGCCGCCATATTGAACTTTTTCAATCTGACCCAGTCTACTCACTGACAGATATTTTTGATTGATGGGAAATTGACCAATTGGAGCGTAGTTTCTTTCTTTGACTCTTACATGTCCATCGTCCCTTTGGGGTGTTAGTGAGAGTCCAAGTGAAAATTGGTAAGCCATGTTACTCGGAAAATTCTCTGCCAGAAATTTGCGGTGTTTTCTTCCTCACAAGTACGATGTGAAGTGGAAATTTCGACGTGGTAACAATGTTGGACTAATTTTGTTCCTTTTGTTTATTTTTAGGTGAAGAAATGCGATTTTAAAGAGGAAACTATCCACAGACAGTTTGCAGTTGAGCGGCCATGTGAAATGGCTGCTCAAACTAGTTGTCGTGTGCAATGCGTGAACTTAGGTCGCCCCAAATTCTTTTTAAAATTTATGTACACGCCTAGAACGTGTATGTATTGACGAAAGAAAGTTCTTTGGGGAAAGGGTTATCGAAGTGACGCACAGTGCCCAAGAGTAAGTTGGTTGAATATGAGCCTTTCTGTTTCGATTTCACTAGGCATATGAAGCCACCATTTACGTTGCTGCAAATAAAGCGGTGTAGCGTGGTGGTTTAACACGAATTGTGTCCTTCCTTCTTTCCTTCTCGCTCAAACTAAAACGGCTTCGATGGAGAAAATAAGCAGTCTGAGATAAAGACTGTCTCGAAATGGAAAATCGAAAGATCGTAAGGAAGGTTCCGCGAAAAACATGATGATGCACACGCTCTATACGAAACTTGAATGGATGCGTGAACTATTAACGTTAGATTGGTTGACTTTCGAATCTGATATATTATGTCTTACATTTGGTTAGAACATCTTTCGCGAACTCTCAGTTAATTTGAGAGGTATTTGAGAAGCAGTGAATTCGGTTCTGTGTGGCCACAACCAGATTAACAATCGTAAGAAGTCCGTCTTCGATATTGCGGAGTTTAGTCAAAGTTGCGACTATGGAATGTTGGATTTTCAAAACAAGTCTTTTTTTTTGTCCCTGAGTTATCAGATACGAAAATTTCTTGACTTACTATTTTCCCCTTTAACTATAACAAGTGCAGGTTGAGGAAAATTCAAAAGGACGCGAAGAGATGAAGGTTACCAAACGTGTGCATTAATATTCATGAACAATGAGTGATCTTAAGAACTCAGGAATTTTTAACTTATACCAAGTGACTACTTGAGTCTTAGAATTTTCAAGCAAGTCATGATAAAAGTGAACTGCCCATACGAATGTTTATTGGAGAAATCCTTAAGAATATTTGGCATGAAGTTTTTGCAGACTAGTGATCTTTGAAACAAGAAATGCCAAGTAATCCTAAGTTTGTACATCCACTGACTCCTTCAGATCTGGTGTTTATGGGTGATCAGTGGCTTGATAAGATGAGAAAAACTTCTGCTTCATTCATTTCCTGTCAGAGGTGTCTTTGATGCAACAAGGAAGTGACAATCAATGAGTTTTTTCCTCTTTTGTAATGTAGTACATATAAATTTTACCCAGTTTCTGAGAAGTAATTGTGATTGGCCACCTTTCTGGGATCAAACTATGATAAATGAATCAAGCTTTTGTTGAAGATGTTTTTACAAAGTGAATCAGATCAGCTGATGCTAGTGCTCAAGGAGTTTTCATGATGTTCACTAGATGTATACACACCTTGCATTTTTGTAGTTCACAGGATGCCAATGTAGAATTGATTCAATCTAAGGTTCTAAAAATTTTTGATTGTGAGAAAGTTCGCGCTTGAAGTTTCATAACCTAGCAGATTGCTCAAGCAATGTTTTGGGGCACAAATATAATTTTGCTCCACTTGTTATGAAAATTGGAAAACTAGACTGAAGAAGTAACTTAATATTTATATCCACCCCAAAAGCATTTGTTCAATACTAGCTTTCTTTGTCTTTTTACTCTTGCCAGAAGACACTATGGTACAATAACTATTGTTGTGGCTTTCTCTGTAAAAGGAGATTTGTGTAGAATTCTTGTAGATAATGAAAAGTATCCTCCAAAAAAACAATATTTGCAAACCAAGGTGTGCAACACCAAAATGTAATGAAGAAAAAAAAAGATGAAACTCGAGGCACTGTCTCTAAACATTTTTTTTATTATCTCTGGTGAAGTTATTAGCTAAGGCTAATTTCACTTATTCTTTACAACAATGGACTAGGGAAACACAACTTTGCAAAAGGTCAAATTAATGACATTTCTAATAGACAGCAATTTTGTGATATTTGTTGTAATTGTTCAGTTATTGTCTCTTGGTAGCAATGTTAGGCAAGATGTGTTTTGATTCCCTCATTTATTGAGTAAAAGAAAGAAGAACAGAGTGTGGTGCAACCCTCGTTATTTACAAAACTCCATGTTGAAATCTGCCATATAAATTTAGAATGAGGTAGAAATGTCCCATTCTGACTTGTAGAATCAGGTTTATTGGCAGTTAAAACAACCCAGTGTAATCCAGTACCTGATTGTTATCTTTATACCAACAGATTATTGTTGCATAGCTTTTTTATTTACTCTGCACGCGATAACAGATACTTGTAAGCACTAGCAAAACATGACAGCACTTTGGATAATGGATGAATTCTAAATCCTAAATTCCCAAATTGAATGAAGAAATATCAATTAATTATTTTTAAACTCCAGTCAAGAAATATCATAAATTGTGTTTAATCATTGCAACTGATATTTGTTTCAATTGTTTTTCTTCAGGTGAAGGACTGTTGTGAAAGTTGAGCCTGAAAAGAGAGAAGAGCTGGAAAAAAATATGGTAAAGATGCAGTAAAAGGAAAGAAATTAAACTGAGCAGTTGAACCAGGAAGCAAACCTCATCCTACAAGAGCACATCTACAACATCATGCACTTTTTCAAATTAGTCTTTCTTTTCTCCATGTCAAGGAGAGAAGAGATTTCTTTGTTAAGGAGGAAATCAGATTCTTTGCTGGAATGAAAAACCCACTGAAATTTCCTCATTCCCATCATGTCACTTTGTTGCTCAGTTGGCAGTAGTTTCAACTACTATTTGGGTGACACCTGTTCGAATCTCTAGAATTCTGAATTTTATCAAATTTCTTTCTGTAGTTGCTCTAATTGCAGTTCACTCGACAGAATCATTTCTTCACTAGAATTGTTCGTTACTTTCAGAGCACATCAGGTGGTGAGCCTCACACTCTGCTGAATGCTCTCAAACCAATGCTAGGTTGTTTAGGAGATATCAAGGCCCCTCAAGAGGTGGTGCGGATTATAAGGTATGATACAGGAAGGTTGATAAGTCTTTTGTACAATTGTGTGGTCCTTGTCAGTAAGAAACTTTTTGCAAAGGGTATAATGCTTTCCATCCTCCCATCATCTTGATTGTTTTAACTTGTTTCCAGTTTAATGCGAGATGCAGAGAAGTTGATGAGTCGTTGTATTTACTTGAACATCCTGAAAGCTACTATTTCAGCTGCAAAGGAAAGTGAAACTGCAAGTGAATCACTAGAAAAGTATGACTGCTTTTTACTTCTACTAATATTAAGCAACCACTATTACTAGAGTGGGCTCTGTTATTGAGCCCAGCCTAATTAAAGAGTGGTTGTGGTAACTTTTGCTATTGATTTTCTCTTCATTATTCATTATTGATATTTGTCTAATTAAAGTGCAACTCAGTCACTTTTTTTTCATGTCAAATATATTCCACAATGACCTTTGGATTTCCTGCAATTATGTTAGTGGAAAAATCCTAGTTAGTTTTATGCTACATGAAAAGCTCTCGATGAAAGCTGTGTTGGATTTTCTGGTCTGCTTCTCACTCCTTAACCCTTTAACTCCTATGAGTGACCGAGACAGAATTTCTCCTTACAATATCAATACAATATCAACCAGGTAAGTGATGAGAATTAAGAAAAATATCAATTTGGAGATAATTAGTTAATTCAATACTAAATTCTCTGAACTAAAATGATAAGAATAGTATGGTTGACTGAAAGGAGAATTTCAAATTTGATCTGTGAGTTAAAGGGTTAATCCTTTACACCTTAACATAAATATGTCTATTCTCAATACTATTCTTAACTCATTTCCTAAGGTGCTGATAAGGAGAATTAGTTGTTTATTTTTAAACAATAAAGAGCTTCTTTAGTTGGTGATCATTTCCTTTATTCATGTGACCCTCATGGTTGATTCAGGGTTAATATAGTAAGGAGAAACTAGATCCTGGTCACTCTTAGGGGTCAAAGGGTTGAAAAGTGTGCTCTTGATTGATAATGTTTGAATTATAACAGATTATTTTTGACCAGTTATTAAATGCCCACTTGTTGAGAATAAATGCAAATTTGCTTCTTGGTCTCAACAGGTTTATGAGTGTAGGAGGCTGGAATATACTGAATAAGTGGTTAGTTGAGGCAAAGAAAACTGAGAATTTTCCTGTGCTATTGGAATTACTGGAGGTGAGAGACCTTGTTGCATGAGTGGATGAAACTTTGAGTAATGTGTTTATGCATATACATTTATTTTAGTGTAATGTGTTTATAATTTAGTGTCTTGTACTGTGATATAGTGCTTATATTGCAATGTACAGCTACCAATATGTTGCCTCAAGTCAATCTGTGTGCTGTGTTGCAACATTGTCTCTCACTTTTGATCCTACATCTTTTATTCAGGTCTTGAGAGATCTTCCTGTAAATATAGACACTTTAAAACAAGTACGTTGATATTTCTTGAATAAAATCTGATTGGTTTTCTATCATTGTTTTTCATTACTTAGCTTTCATTTACTGCTCTGGAATGAACAAGAAAATGTTTTTGACCCATTTACATTCATTTATTGATGGTTTTTATGTTTGAAACATTTATCATAATTGCTGTTTGCAGTACAAAGCAGGATGTTCTTTGCTTTGTTCAATTTTGCCATTTTTCTCAAATAATACTCTAAGCCTTTTTTACTTCATGTGTATGATCCCTGAAATCTTCTTACTACCCATCAGCCTAAATACAGTCTCTGTTGAATATTAAATTCATCAAAACTTTGTGCACATTCAGTTGTGATATTGAAACCAAAGACCACTAGATCATGGTTAATTTGGTAGAAAACCCCAATTATATCTAAAGAATGTTTTGTAGGGCAATACTGGCAAGATTATCAAGCATCTCACCAAGTTAGAAAATCAAGGTAAATGTCATTTTGAAATTCACTTCAATTAGAGAAATGAGAATAATTTGGAGTAACATGGGTTTGGTACCACTGATGAACTCCAACGAGAAGCAATGGTATTTAATTTGCTTTAGACTATTGAAGTCAGTATGCTCTAGATCTGGCTTAGTAAGTTTCTCTAGGGTGTCCTCTCATATAGACTGATTGATTTATATCCTTTTTTTGTTTTAGATGTCAAGAAGCTTGCTTCAGGAATTGTCAAACAATGGATGAGTCTTGTGAGAAATCAGACAGGAACATTAGGTATAAGATTACTCTGCAGTGTCACTTTTGAAGTCATATACATGTACTTGTAAATGTATTACAATATCAAGGCTTGATCAAAAGTCTCCAATCACTCTCTGGCTGTGCATGTTTATCCTAAATTTGTTTGTCCCTTTCAGAAAAAGGTGACAAACCTAAGCTGAATGGTTCTGCTAATGGTGAGGATACTTTGCAAGGCTCCAAGCAGGGTGAGTGTACGCACATGTATATTAATTGAACAGAATCTATTTGGACAACACTGAGAAAATGGCTAAGAGACTTACCATATCAATGAATGTTTTGCAATTACCAACTAGATTGCAGGTATATCCTAGTGTATTTTAAGTAAGACATTTTAAAGCATTGTATGAAAGAATACATGTAGGTAGTTAAAAGTGAGGTTGTTTGCTACCTTAATAAGGTTTGATTGTTTGGTTTTAGCTGTTTCTTCAACTGAAGGAAAGCCTGCCAAGAGGATGAGGTGAGATGGTATTCCAGATCAGATTAAATACATTCAGTTTCCTCATTTGGTGCTTTGCATTGTCATAATTTTATATGTTATAACTTTTCAATCACATGTCCAGGCTGATAAATATTCCAGGTAACAAATTAAGGCCAGCCTAAAAGGTACTTATTATAAATAATAAAATGCAAGACAACTTGAGTTATCAAATTTTATTGATTATGTTATAGAGACAACAACTCAACAGACTCAAACAGGTCACCTCAAGTTGAGAAGAAGGCTAAAACACTGAATGAAGTTAAAAGTGATGTCAAACAGAGCATGGCACAAAAGAATGTTTCTAAAACAAAAGTTATCCCACCTCAGCCTAAACGTAAGTTCCTGTCTGCTTTATTTCCCGTTTTCAAAGTACATGGAAGAGTTGAAAGTTCACAATTCACTGTCTATGATCAAAATGAAAGATTATTGCTGATTTTCATAACCTTTTGACCCCTGAGAGAGACTAGCACCTAGTGACTGCACCCCTGAATCACACATTTAAGTCACAAGAATAAAAGGAATGATCACCAACTAAAGAAGCTGCTGATTGTTAAACAAATTCTCCTCATCAGCACCTTAGAAAATATATAGAGGACAGTAAGGAGAATATACATACTACTGTTAGGGTGTGAAAGGTTAAGGGATGTACAGAAGATGGCTAAATTGTATGAAGGGTCAGAAATCATTTAGGAAGTAGTTTTTGTAGACTTTTTCAAGTGATGGAGTTGAAAATCAATAGTTACAATATTTGGCAAGCAGTGGTGTCTCATAAAGTGTCAAAGATCCTTTAGATACACATATATCAATTAAATCAACTTATTCATGTTTTCCTGAAGTACTCACAATAACCTTTATTGGTAGCTCCAACTATTTATTATTTGGAGAGGGGATAAAAAACAATTATGAAAAAAAAATTGTCTGTGTGAACAAGAATACAGGAATCTCCCCCTTCATAAAATGATGGTCAGTCCCTTACTCTTTGTGCTAAGGGATGGATCAGTATTATAAACTAGAAACCTATCCTTTTAGTACTTGTGGTCATTTGCTCTCTATTTTTGTTTTCACTAGCTGTTGCTATGGAGAGTGCAGGATTCATGAATGCCTTAACAATTGCAGCATCAGCTGCCCCTGTGCGAAAAAGAAAACGTGTGTCCACAGCTTCAAAGGTACTTACATGTACATCATCAATGTGGTATTTCCCATTCATTGAGTCAAGTCATTCTGAAACTGTCTTACTATTCTAAATGAAATATAAAAGGCCTCTTTGTTTGTTTTAGGGTGTGTGAGTTCTGTTGCCCCTTTTAGTACCAGAAGCACTGACACTATTTTCCCCTTTACCTGCAACATTGGTTACCCAAAACTGTAGTGCAGTTTGCAAGTAGTCTCTACAGCAGCTGGGAAACTGATGGGCTTTTTTCACATGACTGGGTTAGCTATTTCAAAACCAGATCTCTGGCCTTACTCTCTAGCTTTGAGGATTTTTAGGGGGATACTTTTAAGAGAGATGCTTTTAATATCTTTATAGACTGGAACTACTAACACCACAACTTCAACCTCTTCAGCCACAACCACCAAGGTAAGCAGTCTAAGTTGCAATACAGTATACGCAGATTTGCAACTTGTTAGTCTTCTCCAGTCTCATTTTTGTATGAAGAAATATAGGTCAATGTAGAGGCTACTTTTAACAAACCTGTCTTTCCTAAAATTTTGTACAAAATTTCTCTTGAGCTTCATGCATGTGTGTTTGTTCAGCCAACATATACAGGAATTCTTGATGCTATTTTGGACAGTCAGTCACAAACACATGGTCAAGAGGATGGAAGGGAAAAGGAAAAAGAGAACAAAGATAAAGAAGTGGATAGTTCAGGGTAACTAACTCAGGATTTAATCACCAATGATTTAAACTTATCATCATATGTACTGAGGCTAACATTGAACTATATGTAAGACAGTAACCCTCAAGACAGTTCATGTTACTGCTTCATACCAAACAAAACACAGATTCACTATCATAGTGTTCTTAACAAAAAGTTGCAAATATTTTGTAGATGATGCCGAAAATTAGATAAGTTTTTTTATTTATTTATTATCTTCTTGGTAGTGTTGTGGGTATATAATACAAGTTATTTTGTCTATTAGCATTTTGATTTCAATAATAACAATCATCTTGTCTGCTGATTTTAGCAATAACAAGTCTGCTTCATCTCCTAATGGCTCACCTGATGACACATCTGCACCAAGTAAGGACACCAAATGACATCTATGTCAGAGCAGTATTTATATCTTTTACTCAGACAAATCAGCCCTCTTTTTTATTCAACTTCTTCCTTGTACCTTTTTTCAAAATTGGATTAAATATATTTTTCTCATGAGGAAAGCATTATATGACCTACAATTATACACATCAGTTAGTGCCAAACCTGAAAGCCACAGTCCATCAGAGAGAATTTTTCCTTGGATTTTTTTTAAATAATATGGTCATCAAGAAGCAACACAAGAGAGATTCCTTTTTGACTGAAATATAATAATTACTGGAATTTTTTATCACTCAGGTGGAGATATTGGAGATTTTAGCAAAATTTCAGAGGTGAGCAGCTACATTGAAACTTCTTATTGCAACTAAACTCAGTTTTTCTCAACTGTCGAAATTTAAACTTATCTTTTTAACACTGGTTCTCTTTGACAGCCATCTGAAAAAGATAATTCTCCAAATGCAGGTAAGCATTACTCCTGTTCTGGAAATGTACATGTGCAACATGAACAAATTTAATAAAGAAAATTTCCTAAAGTTTGGGAACAAAGCACCTGAAATCACTAAAATACAAGGGACTAAGTAGCACTGTGTTGAAATTCTCCCAAAATGATAAAACATTAGAGTTTATGTTCTTGACCCAACTCAGAGTCATTTTAGCCTGAGCCACTTGGGGAGGGTTTAAATGATACTAAGAAGTACCCAAAACATATTCATACCCAAGAAATAGTTTGTGTTACTCACATGACTATGACTTTGGAAGGCATCAAGAAAATAAAAGTGATAATAAAACAGTCTGAACAATCACATGAGCATAAGAGTGGGCTAAAATACATTTCAGGCTGCCAAAATCTCTATTTTAGCCTGCAAAATGTGCCAAAATGCTTGACCAAGTGTTGATAAATAGGAAATTGGAAATTTTAGCAACTTCTTTGTACTCCACCAAAAAAGGCAGTATCTATCAGCCAAAATTAACAAAATACATGTAAGCAATAAATAAGGGGAGGTCATTACCAACACCAATCACATTTTTAGGCTCGCTAAATTCACATTGTGATTGATGCTTGTTTGTTATTTCTTCAGCATCACAGGCATCAACAGATACAGTAACATCAGCAGCTGATGATTTAGAAGAGAAACCAACAAAGAAGTCCAAGAAGGGTAAAAGAGTTACATGGCCTGATGATGATGCCAACCTTGCTATCTTCCATTACTTTGAGATGGATGAAGATGAAAGAGGTCAGTTTGTTCCACTTTTTTTTGAAAATTTGGTTTACATATTTCCACTGCCTGTGCATTATTTATTGTTGAATGATGAATTTTTAAGATATCACTACTGGGCAACTGGAATTTCAATCACTAACACAAGATGAGTTTCACTTTGTATCCCAGATTGGAAAATGAAACTTGAGTTGTTGTCTATTAAGTGTTTTTAAAAAATATAATGATCATACAGAAAAGGTGTTTATATGTGTAACTATGAAATAATGTTATGTGTCTATTCTGCATGAAATACTGCATAAACACTTTTGGCTTATCAGCATTCTTATTTTCTTTAGCTCTGGTTAGACATCCTGTGAACTTCCTTGATGCAGCACATAATGAAATGGTCAGGGAGAGACAGGTAGGTGTATTTACCAAGTTTTATAGACAAAAATTGTGAAATAATTGGTCACATTTTGCATTTTTTCAGTTAAGAAAATAGGTAGTTGTCAGCACTCTAAGCTGCAAATATTTTGGTCACCAAGTGGTGGTGACATAATTTTAGCTAATGAAATTAGTTTTTACCAATTTGGCAACCTGAGTTCAGCCCACCATTTCCAGCAGGTAATTACATACCTTTCTTATTGAGGTATCTGTGTAGTCTGAAAAATGCATGATTTTCTGTTTCAGCTTGTGGAACAAGCCAAACGTTTGAGTGAAGACATAATGGCAGAGAGAATCAAGGTATAGATGATGCTTAATCATTGTTTGACAAGGGGGAATTTTAAGTTTCAAGTAGGTGGTCTAGGGGAGAGTAGTCTAGTGGGAAAAACACTTTCCTTGTTTTCAATGACTGACTGTTACAACTACCAACCTGAGCTGAAGTGGTCATCATAGTCATGTGACTCTGTGACCACCTTTACTGAGGTAGCTAAAACATCAGAAACTATTGCCATCAAGACCCTTCTCAGAATTCCTCTTATCTAAACAATCAAATCATCCAACTTCAGTTCTGCTACACCTTAATATCAATCCTTTCCTTTATTGTGTAACTGAATTTTTAAACTTACATCATATTTCATAATTTGCCAAAAAGTAATCTTGCAATTGCCACAAGACCTGCATTTGTTTCAGTAAACCTGTGATCTACATTTAAGCACATCAGCTAATTAGGTCCTAAATCAACAATAATCTGTTTGCATGTTGTAGTGGTACAGACCCAGAGCCTTAACACTAGAACACCAAATGGAAAAAGGTTCAAAGAGTACGCAGAGGCAAATACAGGTATAGTACACTATGTGTCCAACACACTCCTATATAGGAGTGTTCATCTGTTACTTGCTTTACTCTGTGCCGAGCAGCAACTGATACATTTTACCATGAGCATACTTGTAAAGATATACATGATATGACCTTCTACAGTGAAAGTCAGTGGGGGGCATCTTGAGAGATTTTGTGCATACATGAGATTCAAACTTTTAACACATTCAATAACTTTTACTGTGTAGAAATTATTGAAAAGCACAGGTGGGACTCAAAAAGACACATGAAGAATTTATCTTCCATTTTTTCCCTAAGTGTTATGTGGAATGCCAGTAATAATTACTAGACACTAAATAGATCATTTTAAACCATACACAGGTCCACTTTTTTATGACTGCCAATGTTGCAACATTCTTCAATTTATTTTGCTCTATTTACTCTGTAAACCCTTGTTTATTATAGATAACAGTTCATAATTATGTGATTTTTTGGCTCACAGAAAACCAGAGAAGCTAGTATACTTGCAGATATATTTTTAACCAAGTCAAGGTAAAGTCTTGGTACATAGCCAGTTTTTTTGTGCTTGCCAATGTTTTAGAAGCTCTCTTTTCCCTTTTGGAGCATGATAAGAATATCACTGATGCACTCAACTGCACCTGGTGCACCACTATTTTGTTCTTACCAAATTTTGATGTCATCTGAACAGATACAACTGGAATGGATTTGTTAACTAAACTTGATTCACATATTCCTGTGTTAGAATTATGGTAGTTTGATGTCCAGAAGTGCTCTGCGTTTTCTCTAATCTTTCCAGAATGAGTAATGTCATTGGTAGACTAAGTTTTACAATTTGGAATAATTGTAAAGCCAGTGTTGTCAGATGCTATTTCCTAACCCCATGTGTGGTAATTTAAGTGGTTTGCTATTTTGATGTTTGATCAAAATGGGTTATGTTCTTATTACATTTCAGTTTGCCTGACAGCCCAGCAGAACCTGAACCTGATAACCAAAAAGGAAGTCCTGAAGAACCCAGAGTTATACCACATGATGAGGTACATGTATTGATATATAGCAGCTCGTACAAGAGATAGATGGCAAATACTCAGCATAACTAACTCTCCTACTGGCTGACCAAGATGTGGATCTATGGAATGTTTTGTTGATTAACTGAATGACTGTCTGACTGTTATTTTGTATATATATATTTCCTGCAGAAAGGAACCACTCATGTACCTGCCAAGGCTCCAGTTGTATCTTCTAACAACAGCAGTGTACAGCTTCCACCAGCACTTATGTCACTGTTGTCATCAGCATCCTCAACTACAGGTTTCCTGTTACTATTAAGATATTTCTTTCTTTTCCTTAGCTGGTAAATGGTCCTTGTTTTGTGTTCGACCAAAGTGAGTTTGTATTTTTTTAAGACGTCAGCAATCTCTGTTTTTGATTTCAGCTGGGTCAGTATCTCATGGAAGTGGTGACAGAGGACCTTATACAGTTCAAGCCCTCCTTGATAAAATTATGGCAAGTAACTAGACTGTCATTACGCGTATTCCAATGTTCAAGTTTTACAATATGTTATATAATTCTTATAGTATTATTGAACAGTGATAACGAGTTAATTTGCAATTTAGCTTGGGATGAAAAATGACAAGATGTTTGAAGAACTAGTTTGTTTTTTTATAGTTAAATCCAAGAGACTTAAATTATATTAGGAAATAATTAATACGTAACTGCAATGTGAATGTTCTTGAGAGGGCTGTTAGTCATTCAGAAGCTGCCTTGAACTTTCAGTCATAACCTCAAGTTCCTTATCTTGTACTGTTTTTGAAACTTCTTTCTTTTTTCAAGGAACTCGGTAGTACATGCTGGGTTTCCAATTATTTTTTGATATTTGAAAACGTAAATAAGTTCTGAACTTGTTCACAAACTCTTCGAATATCTGTTTGTTTTAGAATCCCTCCACGCAGGGTAACCCACCCGACATGGCACCTGGTTCTCAGTCTCTTCCTCAAAATGAGCCAGGGAGTTCCTCCTTACCCCCAGCCCTCCAACATATCCTGGAACCTCTTCAGCAGAACAAAATGGGTCCTCCACGGATGCAGGGACCTGGACCAGGATCCATGCCTGGCATGGGTGCGGGAGCAGGATTGCTGGGTGCAGGTAAAGTCAATTATTTTGTCAGCAGCAGCTTTTTTATAGTGGACAACAGGTTCGACTTGTGATGTGGGTCACAGGCTCTATAGGTTGCTAGAAGACTTTGGTTGAATTCAAAAAGGCAATCCCTTCTTTCTTAACGAAAACATTAGTGTAAAACTTGTCAAAGGAAATGTTCTTCTTGATTGTGTTCTGCAAAATGCGTGTTCAGTTCACATCAGCCAATCTTATTCGTTTTTCTAAGTGAATAAACCATGCAACCACCCTCAGGCCAAAAGTACTTGGTGGTTTTTTTTTCTTAGATATCAATTATCTTCAAGAATAACCCATGAAATTCTGCGTGTACTTTCTTCTTAAGTATGGAATTAGCTGGCGGTTTTAAGAGCCGTCGATGATAAGAGTGCAGGCTGCGAAGCTACAGATTCGTTCATAATCTCTATTCTCAAGAGCCTTAAACAACTTAAAAGTATTTTGATAACAGGCCATTTCTGAGTTCATGAACCCTCACTTTCAGAACGTGGTTAAGCAGAGATTGAAGATTTATTTTGATGTGAAAGGCCTTATACTGAACCCTGGTACTAAAACAGGGACTTTGTACATCTTTAAGATCGTGTATTTAAAAGTGAAGTAAATATTTTTTAAGGATACCCACTTCTCTATAAGACTGTTTAACAGAGAGGCTCCCCAAGCAAAGGGAGATCATTTGAGAAATGTCCTTCGTCAGTAAATGTAAAACTTCAATTATTTTTAAACATTACCAGCTTTTCGAAATGTTAGATGTCATGTGACGATCTCTTGATCTGTTCTCGCCACAGCACCAGGTGATCCAATGGGGAGTCTTAATGTCTTCAGACCATCCGGTCCTATGGGTCCTAGAGGTGTACAAGGCCCACATTTAAGACCTGATATGCCCCCGCATTTTCAAGGCCCTGGAGGCCCTAGACAAGGTCCACCAATTGGGCCCCTGTTTCCAGGTCCAGAGGGCCCCATGATGGGTCCTCGCATGAGGGGACACATGCCAATTCGAATGCAGGGCGGACCAGGTATTGGTAGAGCCATGCCAACAGGTCCTCGGCCTCTTTTACCAGAGATGGTAAGCCTCAAGCTTTGTGTACGTGGATTCTGTCCCTCATTAGATCATGTTAAGTTTCTGATTATAGTAACTGGTGTACCACTGTAAAGAAGTCAGCACTCAATCACTCAACAACTTCTCCAAATGTGTTTAGGTGGTTGATTTACAATTGTATCTTCAGGTGAATAACGATCTAATGTAGAAATTACACTTGCGTCGTGACGCACCACAACTGAAGTAAGTTAATGACCCACAATCCTTCAGACTGATCTTAACACTAAGTGCTCATCCAATGAATTGACAATCAGCAAGTAGTTTGTCCGTTCGGGAATATTTCGGTGTTATTTGCCCGATGTTCTGTCGGGCTGGAAGATCAATCATTACGCGAATTACAGTCCTCTGACGTCAAAAATGCTTTTTCGTTTATATACTTTGTGTATCGTACGAAAGAAGGCAATGAACAGGAAGAAAAGATAGTTAATTGATCACACTTCATCCTATCCCAGGCCCAACGAGACGACTTCCACTCGGACCAGTTCGACGATGGAGGGGAGTATGGTGACGAAGACGAAGAAGGCGAACTTGGAGACATGAGCATGCGTGGTAGGGGTCGAGGAATGCCGCGCGGTCGTGCACGTGGAAGGGGAAGGGGCAGAGGAACGCCTCCTGTCTGTCGACATTTTGTGTCAAAACGAGGCTGTCTTAGAGGAAACACGTGTCACTTTTTACATCCCGGAGTAAATGGACCTCCAGTTTGACAGTGAATAATAGAGCGTTTGAAGACGGTGGCGCTAAATTCCTGAGGTCATACTTTTCTTGTTGACAATTACGACAGGAAGCAGGGAATTGGAGTAGAACTTTTTTACTTGGGCATGACATGGAATGTACTGATACGTCTTCAAGTTACTTTATTTTTGATAAGAAACAATAATGTCTGAAGTTCACCAATGGTATTTAATAAGGAATAACATACGGGTAATGCTCTAAGTTTTCATTTACAGTCGGCATCGAGACGTATGTTCTCGAGGTGGCCTAAGCACAGCAGAGGAAGGATTTATAGCTATTGAAGAATGACACTGAACATGCAGTGAAGGAAACTCTCTCTAGTACCAAATCAGGGAAACTAGTCTAGCAAGGAGGAAAAATTACCAAATTTCTTGTGACTTTCTTTTAAACCTCAAAGCCCTCTTAGTGTTAGTTGAAATGGGGTCAAGCAAATGCGACCAATCTTTTTAGTCTGATGGAATAAGGTAGTGATAAAGGTGAAGTGTTTATTAATGTTTCACGATACTTGCGCGATTTGTTTCCTTGATTTGGTATGAATATCCAAATTCTCCTCGCCGCCAATACAAGCAGTGTTGCAATTGCTACAGAAAATACATACCCCAGTCATAAAGGTTTAGGGAGTCGTGCACAATTCGAGACTTGTACTTTGCCCAGTTATTGACTCAAATCTTCTCTCTTATCCATTCATCTCCGTCGAAACTACGGAAACTACGTATTTTATCACGAGCGTTCGTTATTGAAATTATCTTTGTACATATTGTATAGAGTGTGGAAACAGCGCATGTAGAATACTAGGTAGAAATAGTTTTTAAGCGATATCTACTTGAAAATATTTTGCAACACAGCTAGAGAATAAATGTTTCGTATTTTAGTCAGTCTGAGTTTCAGCAGAAACTAGAAGATTCAAATACAAATTTTTAGAGTAATCTCAACGTGATGCAGATCCTTGGGAAGCAGTCTTTTTTGTTCTTGGTTAAGGTATGAATAACCCCAACGCTTTTAGTGTGACATTTCATTTCTGTGCTAGCTAGTAATATCTTGATTGGTCCAGCTGCAACGAAAGTAGTTTTCTCATGGTTGTCTTTACCTTGTTTTCGCCGTTGTCCTTATAATTTACCGCTATTGCCTCGATCTGAGTAATGTAGTCGATTGTAGAAACTAATTTTATTGACAACTCGAAAGACACTGGTAATCTACTAATGAGTCAGCTGCACATCCCAGTTCACGTCTGAGTTGATCAACGAGGATGTCACCTTTTAAAATCGCCTCGCCTTCTAAAACAGTTCACATTTTTTCAGAATGGACTTACGAGAGTTTCTGCCTACTTAACCTTTATCAATCCATTTTCTATATTAAAATTTTGCAAGAAGACATAAGTATCTTGTGATAAAAGACGAAACAGTTTTGTGACTCCAGGTATGGGAGTAAGACTGAGTCATGTTCGTAAAACTGGCTCGAATTGTACAACACAATTGCAGATAAATTATCTGGAACCTCTTCATGTCTGGGGTTCGTTTCTGACGCACAACGTTTAAATTAGTCACTGCTTTATAGTGGGAAAAAATAAGAAATCTGGCAAGAGCCGCGATGGTACAAAGCAGTACCAGGTGAATTGCGCAGTCTTTAAAATTCATCGTGAATACAATTGACCAATGTGATTCACGTTCAAACAATTATAACTACGTACGTTGATAATCATAGATATGAATGAAGTAAGTGGGGGTTCCAAATATATTTCCTTGGCACTGTCCATCGTATTGATGTGAATTACTTTCACTTGTAATCAGTTTTCTTTGTTGATTGCCTCACAAAAACCATTTATTATGTACTAAGAGACAGTTGATTACTAATAGTGTTGTGTCGGTGGTACAGCTATGCTGGAAGTGAGCAACTTTGTTGGTTACACAACAATATAACAAAGAAATGTTATTGCTAATTTATACTTTTATGGGTTGGAGAGGAATAATGGTGCGATTTTTTCTGTTTATTTCACATTATTTCCATGAAAATGCAAAAACCATCACCACCATGTGTCGTCAAACATCATTCCTCTTCAGCCTTTTGAGATTTAATCGTGTTAGTGTTAAAATTATCATTTGATGTACACTTCCTCTATTAAAGGCAATTTCAACAAGTGAATTTCCTTTGTGCAATTTTTATTTGTCTCGTTTTGAGTCGCCAGACTTTCGCATCCACCCAATCTTACAGAAGGTTTAGTACAGTGTCCTTCTTTTTCAAAAATATGATAACATAGTGTTATGAAGTATTTTATTAGTTTATAATTCATTAGTCAGTTCAGTGTGATGAAGTGTTTCGTTTATATTTAGAATGTAGTTACTATTCGAATTTGAATTCCGAAGTTATTTTGGTTAAAGCTGCCGTGGTGAGTTTCCGAATTGTGACAGTCTTGACTAAATTCCATAAATGGACGTGCTTAGTTGGTCTATTGACCTTGATTTGAACGCACGAGGGTTCTTGTTTTGGCTAACGTAGTCGAATTTTGATACAGTTGATCAGATGCATTATGTTCAAGTCTCGTGAGGTTGTTTGGCTCAGAGTTCTACTTGAGCAACTGCTTATAATCCAAGGTCAGCCAGCTGGCATGCCCACCTATATCTGTCAGTAGTGTATGTAAAGGCATTTTCTTCAGAGCTTATTTAGCACAGAGAAGAGAATAGAATAGACTAGTAGAATGTAGACAGAGTGGAGAAGAGTACAGTCAGAATCCTGTAGTTGAAGTGAGTGTTTGGCGGCACAAATCAACGAGAAGTACTCAGTGAGAATCAAAGTGTGAGAGCCTAACAGACTAACCAGGTTTTCACAGAATGAAGTAAACTTGGATGTAAATAGAATTGTGTTCTGGAGAACCGATAAGTTAAAGAAAACAATAGATAGCACTCCTATGCTCGCTATTTTTAACTACATGGCGAGGGCGAAGTAGATTTTTAATGCCCCTAGATAAAGTCGGCGGGAATGTCGAAAAAGTACTCAGTAGGTAGGAAGAATATACCTGTTGTTCAAAGCCTCTGTTATAAATGGTCTGATTACCCAAGTTTAATTCAGGATGCAGTAGATGTGGATTTTCAACTTTTTTTCGTTTTGGAAGAAAAATCGCTGCATCGCCGCAGTTTCAAGAGACGAACGTCGCAAATGAAATATCCTTATGGCCGGAAAGTTATTTAACAAACATTTCAAGTATGTAACATGTGCAATTTCCAACGAGCACGCCTTCGAATATTCAGTATGATTGATGAACGAAATTACAAAGAACTTTTACTTAATAAAATGATTCAAAGCGTCAATATTCCTTTCCTGAACGTGATTGATTTTTTAAAAAACAAAAAAAATAATTTTGCTGTGATAGAATGTAAGGTGACCAGGTAATCTATTTTAATACATTATTCGTGGCCGTAGGCGGGGTTTTCTTATGTTGGTTTCCTTTTGACATTTAGTTGTAATACAGATTTAGTTAAAACCATGGGATGTCAATTTTCTTGTCAACTGAGGTAAGGGGGATGGGGTGGGGCAGGATTTACTCAGTGAACCCACTTTCTTAACTTCCTCCTCGAACCTGTCATCTTTCCCGTGAGTGACAGACAGTAAAGGGGGAACTGGACGTGATTTACTCCACCTCACCTAAACTACCTGACGGCAGCAGAAGTAACACAGGGCACCCAAACAATTAGAGACTTCGAGAGGGTAAACAAGAGCGTGGCAAAACCGAAGGTTTAAAGACGAAAACAATAACACTGCACTTGCGTTTAAAACTTTGTGCAGTTCTTAGCCGTCCTGTGTAGAACAGTGACCATGGAAAGCACAAGATTTCGTGTGCTCTAGGAATGACAACATCGACGGCTACTCAGGGGTCTCTTTTCTACTTTGGAATTAACTCTTCATGTTATGCTAAAGGCGAGATCTTGTACCATCAGAAACGATTGATATACATCGACCAACTAGTGAAAGTTTAAGAAAAACGAAAGGTCGTTTTTAGGTGGCCCTCCAAATCTTATACTCTCTAATGACTTCCAATCAGAGAGTGCATCTTGGCTTATGTAGAAAACTGTTACCTTTTCAGAGCGACTTCGTGGATGAAAAAGTTCGTCTCTTCCTCTGTAACTGCAGTAAAGTGCTCAAATCAACTTTGGAGGATGACTTTTTTATCCCATTAGATGCAAGATTTGAAAACTGACGAATATCTCGAATGCAATATTCAACAATTATTCCTTGAGCGCGCATTGGATATGAGATGGCAAATAGCAAACGAGGAAAACCTTCTTTAGATCTGTTTTATTTTCTTCATCTTAATGTTCTGTACACGTTACTGAGCACAAGAAATTAAGGCTCACTTTTTGCCTTTTTGGATATTATTTACATCATACTATATCTCTTTATCATACAACAACAAGTCAATACTGTTTAAATTATGAGAATGAAAGACATCCTGAATACAACACCAACTCTCTTTAATTTAACACAAACTCGCGTCTCGCATAAGACTTGGGATATCCTTCGCTTTCCCCTCCTCGCCACACCACCCCGCTCCTAGTAATAAGAAGCCTTCGAGGAAGTGATGTTAATAAATAAGCCGATTAATACTTTAGTGATTCTAGGCTTCCTATGATAAACCTTTAACTCCCAAGATTGATAAAGAATCGAATCCTCCTCATTATTATAGAGCAGTGTTTACCATACAAGTGAGGAGAAATGTCATACTAATAAGCCTGGAGGTAATTCCATGGCAGGAACTTAAAATCTAAGGTATTTCTAAGGTAATGTACTACAGATTTAAGTCGAAATTCATTTTCAATCTTGAGAGCTAAGTTTTTATATGCTTGACTATTGCACTCTTAGTAACCTTTCTTAGATAAAGACAAAAGATTTCCTAACTACTCTTAATACCACTTTACTACTCGTGAAAAACTAATCAGCGCTTTCACCCTTTTATTCTCAAAAGAGAGCAAAATCAGACTCTTCTTTATAAATTTTATACTTTGTCAAAAAGTAAGTAGACCAGTAAGTAGAAACCACCAATATTTATCCGGTTAATTATTTAAATCTCAACTGCTTTTTCAGGAAATACATGGCATTATCTAACTGAGAATTGGCGAGTTTAAGGATGGAAGATTTAAGTATTATTCAAACTGACGCAAAAGTCTGCAACTGCTATAAATATGCGTTGAACCAATGTGAAGCAGCATCGTCTGAATCTGTAACAAAACAATTTCGGATATTAGGCTAGTGTTCTTGAGCAGACCTCTGTTTCATATGGGCAAAGAAAATGAGAAATTTTGAATCAGTAGAGCGCAAACGAGGCTAATTCTGAAAGGATATTTAGACTATGTGGAAAAAAAGCTACATCAGAGTATGAATAATTTTAATCTTTCTTAAATAATAGTTATGATCCCGTAACATGTCTCAACGCAATTTGTTATTTTTCAGAAAGGATTGTGAGACTGTCTCAGTAAGAAAAGAAACAGTAGTTTTCATCTTGACAATATTAATGCAACGTGCAAGACCTGAAGTTCAGTAATCCTAGTCAAGTTTCTTCTTCTGTCAGTTACTCGGCCAAAAATTAGCGATGAACAGTATGTTTGTTTGCAAATAAGTTATCAAAAAGGTTTCAGTATTTTGTAAAACAAAAAGGCTTTCAAACACAATTACATTTAATAGGCAAATATTTTATTTTTTTTAATTTTCCTCAAGTATAACTCGACATCTGCACGTAAAAGGTGATTTTTGCGGGTAGGAAAGTGTTAGCAGTCTCCACAAATCACAAGCAAAGAACTGTTCATACTTAGGCCATGATTTTCGGTTAAAAAAAGATTTACGACTTGTTCGTTTAATATTTCATTGGTACGGAAAGTATTCAGAAGTAATTATAATACTATGACTTACTCCTTTGAATTTTGTTTTAAAAGAGACCTATTTAATTCTTCAGATAAGCAAGAGGTTGCAAGAGAGTGAGTGGTAACCAGCGATATAAGGTGTGACGACTTTTAAGCCTACAGCTTATGTTTTTATCTTACTGAAAAATAACTCGTGAACTTTCCTTAAATTTTTTTGCAAAATAGAAATAACTATTTTATCGTTTTCTTGATCATGACTCGACATGTACAATTACGGGTGTGAAATGAAAATTTTTCAGTGGAAAAAAGTTAAGAAAAAATGTAATTTTTTTCAGAAAAGCAAACCTATTTGTTCGAAATTGTTTTCAAGAAGTGTCACGATATTTAGCAACAACGATAAATAAATACAAATAAACCTCAGCCCTAACGAATAGTACATTCTAAACTACCAGCAATATTGAAAGTGTTCTATGTAGTTACTAACAAGGAGGCATTGCCAATAATGCGATACAATATGCTTCAAAATTGTGATAAATTAGAATGAATTAATCATGTCATGCATAAGTTCTAAGTGATTCTGACCATTGTGATTTGTAGTGGTGGGATATCCACCCATATCCCCGGGGTTAAACTGTTGCGGCCGCATCATACATTCATCGATAGCTTGCATTCCATGATCCATAGGAATCTCCCCGGAGTCCATATGGTTAAGTGGTCCTTGGTAAGGAGGTTGGAACTGCGGTGGTGCCATCATTGGTCCCATATGATTTTGCAAATGTTGATATTGAGGCGGAAGCATTCCATAGGGAGGGGGTTGAGATCCCTGGAGTTGTGGGGGAGGGGATAGTGATGGAGGAAGATCTAAACTATCTCTATCGGCTCGCCTTTTATCTCTTGGACTTGACGCTAAACAACAGACAAGGGAACATTGAGTTAGTAGGTGCCAAATCTTTTGGGAGCCTTCCAAGAGTGGAGCCTGAAAATCTTCAATAGTAAGTCAATGGCAGATGTGAAATACTTAAATGACTATGTTGATCTCTAACACAGTTTTTGTAAGATTAGAGCAGCTGTAGGTTAACCTCATGTTGGGGAAGGTATGGTATTTTGAGACGTCGAGGTCAAATTGTATTACAAGTTGAAAGCTGTTTTCAGTTTTGAGTAAACCAATAGTTTATAAACAGTTTATAATCTTTTGAGAAACTCAATGGCACCAATGAAACTCTTTAAATAACAGGAACAGTTTCCAAGTGGGAAGAAAGGGAAAAAAAAACTTTCAAAATATCCTGAAATTCCTTTCAAACACAGATCAAAATCAATTTATTTTGATTATCTTCATTTGAAAGAGATCTAATAAACATTTATCAGTTTGAATTTTGATCGTGGGTCTGAAGACACTTACATTTCCCGTCTTTACTTTTTTTAAGACTCCTTTGTCTATTACTGACTCTACAACTTGCTGCGCCATCAGACTCCGGATTGTTCCTTCTCGCAAGTTTCTTAATCTGTTTGTAAGAAAAAGAAATAATAAATCCCTCTTCCCAGGATATGGTGACGAAACAAATTACCTATAGGAGAATTTTGAGAAACGAACACAGATCTAAAGAAATTGTTATCATCTGGATAGGAAATAAACGCTTCTGTCACCCGCCAAATAACTAACTGACAAGTTGATACACAGAAAGAGTGGATGCTAAGGACACTAGACCCTCATTTCATATTTTCCAGCTGACAAACATACAGAGCTATTTAGTTTTTTCTACTGCCCTCGGACGTTTGTTTCATATCGCAAAGGGTATCGAGAGAAGAAGGCTTTCCTGAGAGAGTGTCATAAATCGCCTCAGCCTCAGGGAGCTGTGGAAGATATATCTTTGTATAATTTCAATATGGATGGGTAACTGATGAATGGTCAAACGTGGAGAAACGAGGATAGGAGAGCACGAAGGTCCCGAACTATGGAAAAAATCACTTGCCAAGCTTAGCCAAATGGTTTTCGAAAATCCCTTTACGCAACTCGCTCCAGACTTCTTACGCCGAACGGTTTCAAGATGGCCGACAGAGGAAACAAGGGATGGAAAGCGCATGGTTAGTTAATCACCGTGTTCCTAAACCATATTCTAATTCCATAGATGGGATGTGAGGTTTCCCAGTATTCAGCTAGGCAGTAATAAAGTTCAGGATAGAACAACTTCAGACCGAAAAAAAGCACAAAACATTGTTCTTGTTACATGTACAGTTACCTTGGCTCTCTGATTTTGAAACCAGACTTGCACAACACGAACGCTGAGCCCTGTTTCTCTTGAAAGCTCTTCTCTGACCTTTTTGACGGAAGACAAACAAAAAAAAAATTGGTGCCTGCAATGACAATGTCTGAGAGGAAAAGGAAGGGACATAAACTAGATCATTCTAATTCGTAAGTCCGATTTCCCCCGCTCCTTTTGTAGGACGGTCAAAAGCTGAAATTTGAAGTCATGCTGTGGAACGCTATCATCCGAACCTGGTCATTGTTTATCGCCTGGAGGGTGGGATGGGGCGGTCTGGAGGATTTTGGTTTAATCACAATAACTTTACCTGTCCAACGATCCCCCCCTTACTAGCAGTCAACTATTCTTAGTCCGGCCTTTATAATTTGTGAGTGACGGCTGCTACTCCCTCCGTCCCCCCTGAAAACCATTTGACCCACCAAAATAAATTCTCCAACCCCCCCCCCCCCCTCCTTAGGCAATAAATTATGACTGGTTCCTAACTTCGTAAATGAGCTTTATAGTGTTAGGCTTCCTACCTTTCTACAAGGTTTGGAGCTAATTTCAAAGGCGGATTTGAATATTTTTCTTTGTTGACTTGTGAGTATTGTTCGTGGTCTCTTTGGTCCTTTTTTATCGTCATTTTCATCATCACCAATTACTGATGAATCGTCAGAGTCTGAATTGTCCGCTTTCTCCAATTTTGTCTCTTTATCATTCTTGAAATTGTTATTAATTACATCTGCGGAGCAGATAGACAGACAAATTATGGGTTAGTATTGGGTGCACATGCTTATGTTCATCTTGATAAGATGCAGTTGAGATGGGTTGCAAATAAATGAATCGCAATCGAGAACAGCCAAGAGTGTCACAGCCATCTACATTCGTAAGGTACTCAGTAAGGTACTCAGTAAGTTACTAAGCAACATCAAAACTTAAGGATTTAAATAAACAAAAGTGGAATAAACATCCAGTTTACTTACTCTCTTGTTGAGGCTTATGTGGCGGACTATTTGATGACCCTTTTGTTGGAAGTTTTCCATAGTCATCCTTGCAGTATAATTTGTTATCTTTTAACGCAAATTCCTGCCCTTTTTCAAGACGATGACCACACATGGTGCACATAAAACATTGTATGTGATACACATTTCCTAATGCTCGCATCACAAACTCGTTTGCTGGGATGGTCGTCTTGCAGCCACTACATTTTGTACCGTACATCCTGGAGAAGAAATTGAGAAAATTATGACAAGTTGGTCTCCAATTGAGAAGGGAGTCTATTTTCCTTAGTTTTACTTGTAATTTACCAATTTACTGTTATACAACCATCACTTCATATCCGTTTTCTCTTAACACCACTTTTCAAACGGCTTTCAATCGTAATTTGTCAGTCATGTATCCAACAGTCTGCACAGTTCAACATATGGTGGACATGCTTTGCCATTTTGCGTTATAACACTTTGAAAATCTCTAATAACAGAAGTAAGCAATCCAAAAAATTAATCATATTTTAAAAATGTTTTCAGTGAGAAATTCGCTCTTGAAAAAGTTTTTTTTCCTCGTCTCTTTAGAAATCTAATACGAAGCACAAGCTAAATCGCTAAAAGGCTCAAAACTTTATATTTCTAACAATACACCGGCATATGGTCCAAAATTTGATTGTTTTCTTACAAAAAAACTGTCATCTCGCCTTCATAAATTCTCGAATGGTCTTCTTTTTTTTCTCGTTTTGATGAAATACTGCAAGACATCAAACTTTCCTTTGGTTTCTTTCGACAGTTCAAGAAATCTTAAGGTTTTATCATTATCATTATTATTGCTTTTTGATCGTCTGCTGTTATCTAGGGTGTTTGAATTTACTTGTAAAACTGTAACACAAAAATGGACGTTGGGAAATGGGGTCGATGGAATCTGGCTGTCAAATAGCACAAAGAGTGCAAGCGCAGTCAACGTCTTAAACAAAACACACCCATGTCAAAAGTTACCATGTTTCCTATTCTATTTACAAAACACACCCTGTTTCAAAGAGCCAATGAGGTAACGAAATCCTATAATTGGCTGGTCTTGTAATTAGTTATAACAGTGAGGTGATAACAACTAGAAAATTTGGAATAATAACAATTATTTACAACCTTGTTGTCAGTTTTCGCCCAGCACTTGGAGTCTGACGTTAGAGCTCATCTCCATGGAGTAGTGAATTATCTACAATAATTTTTGTTACGATTTTACTTAATTTATAGCAAGATTCCCACGTAAAATAATTATACCAAGTTTTTTCTTGTTTTGTTTGTAACAGTATTGTTCAGTTAAAGCTTTACTATTTCATTCATTTAAAAATATAGCGCAACGTTTGAAAAGAAATTTTCAAATAAGATCTTGAGCAGGCACTTTTCCTGAGAGGATTTTCAAAAATTTCTAGGGAGATAAAATGTCTCATTCACTATAACGTTCTTAAGTTTTCATAAGAAGATGCCCTGGAGATTTTGTTGAATTAGCGATCCGTTGAGTGCAAACAGAACGGCTCCACTGAACATTTCAGTTACGCGAAGAAACAAAAAAACTGTTAAAAGCCACGTTTTGCTGAACTTGTATAATGAGCAATATTTATGCGACTTTCAGCTGGTTAAACAAGCTCTTAAGCTATCATATCGGGTACCATCTTCTCCTATTTGCGTTTGAATATCTCATTTCCCTTCTGTTTACCAACCTGCTGTTTATAACAAACAAGAGGTGTTATTCGAGAGAGAGAATTCACAATGCTAACTTAGTTGTGTTAGTTATGAGTTTATCTGCGAATCTAACGCTCTTATGGTATTTGCTTACTGCGTCCAAAACAAACATTTTTTAGTTTTATTCCACTGTCTTAACACGCAACCGCATGGAAAATAGCAAGGACCAAATACTTTAGTAAACATGAAACGCATATCACTTTTCCGGCCTTTTGTTTTAAGTCAACGTATTGACTTGTGAATAAACCTTTATAAATTAATGTTTTTCCACCGTCAGTTTATCGATGCTGATATTATCATATGAACCTTGTTTCCTGTTAAATATGCTCGCCAAACCTCCAAAGGTAAATTTGAAAAAGCCTTCTGAGCAAACCGATAAAAATTTGTTAAAAGATAAAAATTAAAACTTTGCTAACTAAATTAATTGCAAGTGTTCGATTTCAAAATTAAACGTTGTGTTTTGGTTCATGAATAAAAACAAAAGAACTTTCTTTAAAAAAAAATCAGCCTGTTTCTCTTCTTTTAATTCAATACAAAAATACAGCACTCCAGATAAATTTGAGAAAATTATGTTAGAGACCCATTGTCATGTTAAGTTAGACCGCATTTAATTACTCGGTTCAATGAGGTGTTGCTAAATGGCCAATTTTGGAAGGGTAAGAACGCAAAAAAGACCTGGAAAATGGAAAAAAAAAACAATCTTGAAGCGTGTTAAGTCCTTAATTTAATAATATCGCAAGTTGTTTATGACCATTGTAGATGAACGCTCGCTTTTCTTAAAAAAGTGCTTGCTCAAAAAACGATTTGGATCCCTCGTTCGTATAAGACCAATTCAGTAAAAGCCTGTAGTACATACAACGTCAGTTTAACCCGAAAGCTTGTTGGAAGATAAATTGGTTAAGATGGAATTCAGTGCAAAGTTAACAAGACAGTTTTTGTTGTTGTGCAGTCAAAACTCATAACGCTTTTGAAAGGTATATTGCATAGTCTTCGTCAAAATAAGCGACAGGTCAACTGCACAATCCAGCGCTCAAGTCGGAGGCATAGAAAGTAATCATATCTACTTATTCTCAGTAAGCAATAGGCAACCTGAGGGGTTTATGTTATGCAATTTAGGTAGCCTTGCACTGTTGAAATGTCTGACATTGACTGTAACAGGTTGTGCAATTATTCGCGGAAAGATACCACCTCCAAACTAATTAAAAAACCTTATGCTGGTAAAATATACAAGCTCGTGATACGTATCCATTGAAAGAGATCACTGTGCTTTAGAAAGTGAGAGCTGGTGCATTTTAGGAGCTAGAGTTGAAACTGGATATTGAATTTTTCAGGCTTATTAAATCTTCTTGTCAGACATTGTTCTAACTGAGCAGAACTCTCTTTTCTATTCATAAACTAAACACATGAAAGCTGTTGATAAAGATAACTCACTTAAATGTGCAAGGATACCTCGATGCTTGAAACACACATCGGAGCTGTTATTGGTGGAATACCGAATTAGCAATATAACAACTGTAAAAACACACAACACCGCAACCTTTTCAAAGTGAAAACAGGCTTTGAAAAGACGGACTGAAAAGCAGAGACTCGCATTAAAGGTTGCTATCAGAGCAATAATACACAAGGTCAAATTCTTGTTTTTGTCGTGGCAGTTATTGTTCCCATATGTTGATATCTAAGCTGTTTTTGTAGAGGCAACCTTGGTGGTGAAAATCGCTCTCATTTAACCCCCATACAATTTCGTAGATAAGGATTGTTTTCAGAACAAGCTATTCAAGGACTTTCAGATGTTTACACTAAGGAAAGATTCAATTTCAAAAACATAGAAATATTTTGGCGGGTTGTCGATGTACTCTAACATGTTATCAATCCTCTATACATTCCAATTAAAATCGTATCAGCGTTTAAGACAAAACACCCCGTTCAAGACAAAACAAAACCAGCTCCAATTTCGTTGGATATCAAACGAGTCTGAGAGGGCCAAGTGCGTTTAACTTCGACTTTCTGGTTAGAGGGCAAGGTGTGTTTTATCTCCAGATCCGAACATTTAAACATAAGCATCCTAGCGCCTCAATTGTCCTTTAAGGACAACTCCAACTGCAGTTTTACAAAAACTTCATAGAATTTCATCCAAATCGCTCTGAGATTGCAGGTTCTCGAAGATCAAATCCCGCCTCCTCAAAGTGCAATCTTGCACAAAGCAACCCGAAAACGTTCCGCTTCTCACACTGAATGAATTCCACAACTACTTAATCTTCGTTAAGTCTTCATCTGAACGCTATCTTTAGTGTATTCTTACTTGTATTACAAAACTAAGACCTATCTTTAGCGAAACTATATCAAGAGATAACCTTCTCCTATCACAAGGTCGTTGCGCCTGAAAGCCGCCAAATCAGGGAATTTAGACTTGCATCTCTTTGCGATAACCTGCAAAAGTCTTCTAGTCTTAAATTTCCTTGTCACTTCATGTTCGTAGCTCTATATCTGTAGCCGGATGTTCTTTTAAAGATAAACTTCTAAGAAGAATGAAATGTTTCAAAGATATCTTGCTTTAAAGATACAGTTTAGGCGCATTTCATAAAAACAAGTTGGTCTTCAGTCGTAAAACATATGTACAAGAAAACTCAGCTAACAGTTTAATAGGAAGATTAGTCTAGTGGATTTAAACAGAAAATATTAAAACCTTACTCGACATGAATTTGTTGTGTTTGTTAGGCATCGATGCATTTACCCGCTGAGAAACGATTATCTCCGAATGATGTTTCAGACCAACAATCTCTTTGTCTGCTAAAAGTTTCCTCTTGAAATCTAGTTGACTGAACAGATGGATTATTCTCGTTGTATTTTTGAACTACGAAAGAAACATGTTCAGTCATCCAATTTGGATCGAGTTTATGGCAGCTACACGATCAGGAGTGTGTTACAACAATTAAAAATAAAGTGTTCTTGTCTTATTGTTGACCGAACTTAGAATACTATTTCTCTTTCTCTAACCTACCAAGAAACCGAAACACGAAACCGTGAAGTGATTCACGGGCTATTAATAGTGCTACTCGAGTAACAGAAAAAATATGTCGTTATTTGACATAAGAAAGAAGAGGCGACGACTGCTTTTGTAAGCTATATATTATAAAGCATGGTCGAGACTTCTCTTTTGAAGATCAAACAACATACACCGTATTTATAGAAATAAAAACTTGTGACAAAGAGATGCGTCAACGACCGACAACTGTCAAATTCAAGCACTTTAAGCTGACTAAATCGAACAGATTTCTCGCTTAAGTCGATTAGCGGTTTGTTTTTTACAGAGAACTTTTAAGCTTGGCTCAAAATAACCTGAAGTTGTTTTCATTGATTCTAAAACTGAACAAATTTTTCTTGAGTGGCAGTTTCGAATGGTTCTTTGATGCTTGCACAAACCTTAGTACAAAATCAGACAGAGGAAAGAAAATACTTTTTTTTGTTATGTACTTGCTCGAGGCGAAACATTTACAGTAAATAGAATAAAGAAATTCATTTAATTTCAGATAAAAATGACAAAAGAATCCCATTTATAAGCTAGTGGGTGTATTTGCAAAGGCTGTGTGGGGCCTAATGAATAATTCAAGTTTCCTTTGATCAGATTTTTGTTGTGTCCGTAAAGCTGAATTTCAAGCTCTTTTCGACCAGTTTAAAAGGAGGGTGAAATACAGGCTGTTTCATTCGTAAGTGTAATCTTGTTGAGTCGATTGAGCCTTACAAACAGCAGAACTTTTATAGACAATTTTGAAAACCGTATCATTAAGATTTTCAACTGCGCTTCAAAGGAATCGCCGACCTTTATTTCATGATACTTCTCAAACCCGTCCTGCTTTACGATCAAGCAAGTGAACACATGCGCTCATGTTTACGCTAGCTTGTTGCCTTTAATTACACTGTTGTTTTTTCGCTTCCATATTTCCGGAAGGTTCATCACCTACTTCAACGACAAAAAGTGAAGAAAGGTTGGCAAGGCATGATAACTTCAATACAACCGGTTATGTTTTCGTTTGCTCATAATTTATGACCGCTTTTGATGTTGAATACTCCCAAGTCAAACGAGACAAGTGCTTGATAACCAGTTGGATTTATGTTCCACACGCGGAAATTCATGTGTAGGTTAATCAAATCTTCCAAGTTGAAAATAGAATGTATGGCTGTGTTCAAATAAAATTAAAAATCAAACGCTTTTAGTTTTTGGTATAGGTAAATCAGTGGACAAGCCAGCACATTCTAAACAAATATTCCATGAGTCGGCTCCGTTTTAACTTTAATATAACCACGGCAACACGAGTTAATTTTGAAACACGCATTCGAAGCAAAAAAGGTCTTTTGGGCCGGTAAGGAGGCGAAAATAGCCTTCAGTAGATAGATGAGAAAACGAACAACGGCCTGGATCGAAAACCTTCGAGCCGCACACTTAATGGTGTGTGTGATTGACAATGGTAATAGATCCGTTCTTGGGCAAACATTCAATTATAAAAATAAAAACTTTGCTGCTGACTGATTCTTGGAACAAGTTTTACGATCAAGTGGACGAAAAACCTTTCACTCAGCGAAAAACTGTCTTTATGCAGATAAGGCATGCGTAGTCTTTTCAAATGAAAATAACAATAATGAAAACAAGTAATCATTTTCCAGGCTTTTGCTATTATTAGCAAAGTAATATATTGTGAGAGATAATTTAAATGTTGCATTCAGATCTCGTTCTAAGTGACTAAACGCGGCCCAATTTGAAAGGCGTCCTTGCAATTTGACTTATCTTTACTATCTTATAAAATGAGCCTTAATTGAGCACTTAACTGCGAAACATTTTGGCTAGGCAATTTTTTGGTAAAATTATTTCCACATTTTCTTACCGGAACTAACTAGGTACGGGTAACATAAAAATTCTCAGTAAAACTTAGCGCTAAGTGATACATAGATTTTTTTCCTATTTTAGGTGCCCTTCTTCACTTGTTTTGTTAACGTTTAAAGCTCCCACATCCGTTCACATGTAACTTTGATAATTACGTGGATTGTAAAAAAAAAGCCATGAAAGGATATGTTGTTCAAAATTGGAATACAAACTAGCCTGCGCAGGAAACAAGACCAAAAAATTCATCCACAGAAAACCATTACGATTTTGCACAATTCGCGATAAAGAGGAAGGAACAATTAGTCGAATGCGTATCAGAAGAATAACGGAAAAAATCTATCAAGTCGAGATGCAAGTTTGATTAACACATTCAAAGAGCTTCCTGAACGTTGAACATCGGTTGTAGTGAGTTCGTTCAGTTATATAAGAGCGCGTAAATTAGGACCTAAGTACACCCAACTAGATTTCTGTGCTTTTCAACACGTTAATTATATTAAAAGGTGAAATAAGTCAGAAAAACGCAATAATTATTCATATTTTCTAAAATCGGCAGGCGGCCTTGCGCTTTGGATGTTCAAAGGATACCGAATGTATCCTCATGCATAGCTAACATGTATATGTTTAGATCCATGATGTAAATATAATTTCGGGATGATCGTCGTTCATACTGGTAAAATTGCGAGCGCAACAGCTTATTGTGAACATTTTGACTCATTTGATACCTAGCTGAATTAAATTGGGACGTTTAGAAAAAAAAATACTGAGAAAGCAATCTGTTACCGTATATCACAGTACCGGACATGAGACCCTCAGAGCGCTCGATCGTGACCAAAGAGTTTGGGTCGAAGACAGACGATGAAAACCTTGTTGATTTCAAAAATTAAAAGCACCCTGGAATCGACAACAGATCTTGTGCATCGTGTTGTAGACGATACTTAGAGAAAAACTATTAATTACAAAATATTTAATGAGAACGGGGAGATGAAAATGTCTTCAAGTAACGCATTAGTTTATCAACGTTTTACTAAGCTAGCGGCGGACATCACAGTGACTTACTTTTCATAGTCTGTCCGACAGTACAGTTTCCTGTCTTTACTGAAGCATGACCGTGATAGAGTATTCCTACATATACAGCATTGTAAACAGCTTTCATGCCATGGTTCGTCCATCACTTTCATCACAAATCGGTCTTCGATCGGTTCCTGGCAGCCTGTACACACACTCATTCTCCTATTTTGACTTCCATTTTGCCCGCAGCTTGCCTTCCCTGCAAACAGATCACAAACAAACGTTGTCAAATTGAATTCATACTATCACTAAGTCCTTCGTTGCGGATATGAGGAACTAACCAATTATTTTTGGGGGCTTCCGGCAATAACTATCCTCCATAGTCATTGGACTACGCGCGGTGACACTCGTCCACGAGTGTAATACACAAAGATGTGACTCGTCCGAGTCTTTGCTGAGGCCTGTGTCAAACGTATTCGAGATATTTAATCTCCCACGCGCTTGTAGCCTGGCAAGGCTGGGTCAGTAGACTACAGTTGCAAACTGGTCACAATATTTCTGTTTGTGTGATTGTTTCTGTGATACGATTGACTGGTAACCGATTGACTTCTGCTTTTGTAGTTTGCTATCTACGATGGTTAACAGGGGTTCCCTTCATTCCACCTGTTTGACCAGTTGGAACACGGGCATAATTTTCCCCCGACAAGCGACGTTCTTTCTCATCAAGCGCGACGTATATTTCGCGCGCGAATCGGACTTCTGTGGAAAGTTTGGCCGAGATGTCTGGATAGTCGCTTCGATTCAAAGCAGGCGTTTGGTTCATCGATTTGACACCTCAACAACTAAGCTATTGGTAGAAAGGGCGGCGAGGCGCTTTTTTTTATTGTCTTTACCGTAATGACATGTGACAGCTTGATTGATCGTTATGTGACCAACCAAGTCTGAACAATCCGCAGTGTACACGTGCATAAAAAGGCAAGTGGCACTTGTACGATGAAAATTTCAAGTTGAAATCAGTGACTCAGCCCTGGTATCTTTAACAAGTTTCCTCGAGGGATGACAAGTTTCAAGTGAGAAAGTGTAGGTTCCGCTAATCGGGCTTAGAATCGAAGTAATTGGTTTACAAAGGCTTATTATAATACAACCTTCAATTGACGAATGATTGCAGTATGTTTCAGTGCCTCTCACCTTGTTGGAAAAAAGGTGGTGTCCAATCGAAAATAGACGGGGGAGAGGGTTTTTGACAGAGCCCCTTAGCGTATACTGCACGTGCGTCAAGCGAATTACAACTAAGAACGCCACCTGCGGATATTAGCAATTGTTTCAACATGGAGAGAAAACGAAAAAAATGAAAACGCAAGGAGGACGGTACATAAAACAAGCTGATCACACGCAGAGAGTTTTTTTAGAATTTTCTTCTTTTAATAGCAAGTTCGCTGCTATATAAAGCCCTTTAAACAACAAAGGCAGGTGGAATATTATTGAAATGGCGTAGGAATTGCGTTATCTTATGTCACGGTGGAGGCATATATTGACGGCCTGTTGACAGTTCGAGCTGTCGATCACAAGTGGTTTCGCGACATAAAGGACGCCCTTGAAATTTGATACGTCAATTGCTGCAACCTTGGCGGCTCTGAGACAATAAGAGATCTCATGGGCAATTGGGTTTGCTTTCACGCTATTCTTTCTAAAGCGCGAACAATTGAACCACACACGGTCTGGTGGAAAGCTTCCACAACTCATATGGAAGGAATGGGTGAAGCTTTAAGTTCACTTTAAGAGTCAATTTAAGAACTACCTCTCAATTGTGGATTGGCTTTTTGAAGCAGTAGCAAAAGCTTAGGATGTAGGCAAGCGCCAGCCTCTATGTAGTTTATTAGACTGCGGTATGACCCTAGAATGATCATTTAACCGTTGAAACCAAGCTTTTGTGTCTTTATGGATCAACTGCTGTCGGTGTCTTTGATTTCGGTTTGTTGTTTTTCGCGTGGCATTTTTCGGTACTTTAAGAAGGTGCTTGAAAGTGTGAAATGTTTTGTTCGTTTTCTACCTAACGAAGTCATCCTTCTTTTTCCTTGTTAACAAACTTTTTTGTTCTTAACGAATCGATTGTTTATGTGAGAATTAAACTAAAAAAATTATCTATGATTGCCAGTTTTTGTTGAGGCTTTTTTTGTTCGCTTGACACGTAAACGCTTGTAAAACTAAAATTATTTCTGTTATATCAATGTTGTTATCTTTAAACAGCAAGTACTTTGTGAATAAGGCATCGGTTTTGATGTTTTGACTCGGACTATAGCGGAAACCTCTTAGCTGAGGCACAGTGGTCAAGTGAATGGTTCATAATTAAGTAGCTTCTCGTAATATTCATCGGTGTAATAACAATCGAAGTCTAATACGGTTTAGTTGGATTGGTATTATTGTCAACAACAAGTACGATGCTAAATGTTTTGAATGCGACACCGATCCTCCGCCTCAAGCTCTGTTGCATTCCAATCATAGACGCTGTCTCACTTTGAGTCTTGGACTGAAGAGGTTTGTCGTTAATCAGTATTCACCCCGATTGTTTCCCTTCCGTCGCTGATAACAATTTTATCGACCTCAGTGTTTTGTCGGGATAATGTTGCACTTGTTCAAAGTTTCCGTGATTTTTCCAAAACTAATCATTTCCTCAAGTTGAAGCTCTTTGATGTTAAACGGTGTTGTATACATGTATAGGTCCTTGAGAGAACAAATTATTGCGGTTAAATACACACACTTATACACTCACGCCTTTACTAAAACAACAAGAGGTGTGATACAGGCGGCAAATCTTTCATCTTTGTTTTTTTGAATTGGCTCTCAAGTGATGTGGGTTGTTCGGGGGGTTCTGCTTCTGTTTAATTACATGTTACTTACCACTCTGAATCCACGAATCAACCTTTTCTTTCTAGGCAAAAATACGCCTTCTTTTGAAGCAGTAATATTTCTTGAATAAATAAAATAGCTATTAACCTATTCTAATCGCATTTGTTTGCTCACCGCTTCAGGCGAAATGTGTAAGTGATACCTATGAGCTCTGTCGCGAATATTCACTTCTCGTGACTTTTCTATATTTTACCTTGTATTGCTGAAAATCGGTTTTTGTGTTGAAGTCAAAAGCCCGTCAGAAAGGCATGAAAGACCAGTAGAGACATAATTAGCAACGTGGAAGGATGTACGGCATTGAACGAGTTTTTATTCAAGAAATGAATTGTGTGCCTTTAGGAGATTAACTCCCGCTTGGTGCAAAAAACTGGATCTCTAAAAGAGCACGCCGCTGGCTCCAGTTATAACTACGTTTACAGACGATTTTGGAAAATTAAACGTCTTGCCATGGAAAAAAAAGTACAGAAGTCTTTCGACCTTAATAACCCGCCGTCCTTAAAGGAACTAATGTGTTGAAGGCTGTTTTCTACGATGTCGGAAGTTTTCCCCGCTCAAAGGGTAATGTTATGCTAAAATCTTTCAAAAGGCTCCTTGCAACTGCAGCTGCCTTCACTAAGGGTGGAAAGTCCGTGACTTTCAAATACAGTAAACACTTGCTCAGTTTTTTTTCTTTTTTCAACAAAATTCTACGTACTAGATTAAAACTGTCTCTTTTCGCTCTTTGAGGCGGTTTTACTAGAGTAAGTCGGTTAAAAAATGGCTCTGTGTTGTCTCTACAAATATCAACCTTGCGCATAAACCTATTTAAAACAACTTCTGAAACTTAGTTTCTTTACAATGGTGTACAGTTTGGTTCTCAGGAAAATAGAAGTTCTAACGAGATTGTAACCGAAGCGTGTAGTCTCCGCTAATTAAGAGACTTTTGCGGGAGCATTCTGAATGATACTGAATTTCGACGTTTCTTCTGGTCTATACAGTTTTGTTGACATTTCATATATTAGGCGTTCTTATCGAAGCAAGATTCTTTTTCAACCTTTTTCAGTCATGCCAAATTTAAAAATATTTCTTAACCAACCTTGCCGTGAATTGTAACCCCACAAGATTCAAAGACTAACGATACAGTTCCATTCTGTAGAGAAGAATCCACCTAAGATTTTATATTGACCAAATGCTTGAACCTTAAACTTTTCCGCTGAATGAGGTGAGTAAACACACAGAGAGCAATCCGTTTAGTTTTCTCTGAGACTTGTAACATCTGGTTCTTCTTAGGCTCGTGTTTCACATTTAATTCCGTTCTTGTTTCCTCAATAAGCTCGGGAAAATTCGTCTTGTTTCCCTGTGCTGACAGCAGTTTTCATCATAGTTCTGTCCGCAATTTTCAGTGCGATGTGGTTTAGTATATTTGCAAAATTCGCTCGTAAAAGTTTAAATCATATAAAATTTTAATCTTCGCGAAGGAGGAAGAATTCAACGAGCGTTCAAATTTAATGATTTTCGTTTAAGCAGTAAAGTCATTTTGGTAGCTTATATAGAAAAGCATGCGGTCAATGTATTTTGACTTTGTCCGAAACGAAACATATGTGTCCAAAATATAAACTCCATCTGCTTCAAAGATCCAATTCGAGCTTTTCTACCCGGTATTGTAGGAACAAATTCAGATATTTTCAAAGATGGCAAAATTCTTGAAACCTTAAACTTAAAGTGAGCCTAAATGCACAGTTAGTCCACATCACAGGTGTTCTAAGGTCAAGTAAAACTAATCTGAGGTTGTGTTCTAATAAAACCCATATGTAGGTATTTTGGTTGCACAGTGATTCTGTATACTATGTTTTGATTCATATAAGCTCCAAAGCTTTTAAATGAATCTGCTTTGGATTTTCTTTCGTATTTCCTCACAAAACTCGAGTTTGAAATGACTCTTACCATGCGCTAAAGTCTTGTGCATGCCTCAAGGCTTGTATTGGTAATATAGGGCTTCTTCCCTTCCTTTCAACACAGTGTATTCTTCGTTACCACAAATATGTCGCTTTGAAAGCCAGCTTTCTTTCAAAATCAAAGGAATCAATTCGCACAATTTCACGTTTCTGTGGGTTCTTTCAACAGCAGCCACAAAGCTAGACGAAAATTTAATAAGTGCTCACCTGAATTCATTTTTCAAATGAATCTGTAGTTATTTGTGGTGTACTTGTACTCATCCATTTATTTACGGATATTGAATGCCGTGAAGACTGAGAAAGCTGGAAAAAGTCCCTTAATACTCTAGAGGATCATATGTTGGCGTAAAAAATAAAGAACCTTTTTTCCTTTGTTTAAATTGAAATTCACTTTTCTCATATCAGTGATATATTTTAATCTAAGCCCCTCGCAGCGTTACTTAGCCCGGCTGTGTCAAAGATAAAAAGTTAAGAATTTCAACGGTTCTTTCGCTCCATCTCACGTCCAATTTTATTCCTTACAAAACATAGAAAACGGTAAAAAAATATTACCAGGTGTATACCTAAAAAACTCCTTAAACTTAAGCCATCTTCTCAAACAGATTTCGCCACAGTTATAAATTGTTTACTTTTTAGTTGCAATCTGCTCGATTGACTCCTCAGAACGGATAACTTTCCTTAAGGATCTCAGATCCTCTGAGAAGCTGCGAGAAAAGTTATTTAGTGCATTGTATCGATAAAGTTTTTTTATTAAGACAAAGCGAAATTTTTTTGCGAGTTGACAGCTTCGCTCGACGAGTTGTAAATGAATGTAAGCAGGGGGACATCTGCAGATTGCTTCGCAGATTGAAACAAAAAAAAAAAAATGGATCGTTCTCTGCGAGGAAATTGTATGTCGGTGTTCCATATTTCAGTATCTCCTTGATTAAACGTCCTTGGAACAGAGGGTTTCATTTCTGATATTTTTCGGTTTTTATCGTAGATAGGACCG